TCTAAATGTGATAAAAATATTAAATAAAAAGACTGCAATTATTATTGCATATTTTGAAGTAAGTGCTCAAGTTTATGAATATTTTGTAAAATAATTATACATATAAATTGTTTAAAAATCATATCAATTAAATCAATCTATTTAAAATTAAAAATAATTAATAATTATAAAATAATTATAAAATAAACAAAAAAATAATAATAAACAAATAAATTTTATTTGTAAACATGATATAAATTTTATTCTATAATTTGTATTCCAGTTAATAATTAAATTTATGTAAGTCTTACTATAAAAATATTGTATTATAATATAAATTTTTCACAAAAACTTGTTGATAATAACTTTATTTACTGCTAATTTTATTTCAAATTTCTTTTTAACCTCTATATTGAGTAACTATAAAATATATTTTATAAAATTCATTATACATATTTTCTATAAATAATATAAAAAGCTTAAATTAAATTTTTTTATCATTTTTCTTATTTTGCATTTGAATATGAAATATAATATAAAATTTTAATAAAATTATTTATAGTTTAAATTTATTTTTAATTGATAACAAAAGATAGAAATATATATATAATATAATATCTATAGGGTTAAGAAAACATCTTTTATTTTTTATAATTTTTTTGATTAATTAAGACTTTTTCTCTTTTACTTAATATTAAATTTTTGATATATTATTTAATTAAATTATTAAAGTATTAACATAAGATAAATGAATTTTCTATAATTTTAGTTTACAAAAGAAAAGAATTTTAGATAATAAAAGAAATTTAAAATTAAATAAAATTAAATATATTTATTTTTTTATTATAATTATTATATTAATAATAAATTAATTTGATATAAAATTTAAATTTAATGTACTAATAATAAATTAATTTATGCACAACATATTTATGCTGATTATTATATAATTATTCAAAAATTAGAAAATTCGCTATATTTATTTGTATACAAAATTTTTCAAAAAAAAGAATAGAATTATTTTTATGTTAAATATATTTATAATTCTTCATCTTTATCATTAAAATGATATAAATTTAATAAATTAAAAAATGAAAAATATTATTTGCACCTATTTTATTTTAAAATACAGAGAAAGTTTAATAAATGACTATCACAAAAGATAAATTATGATTGTAAATTAATATATAGGGGATGATCAATAGAAAAGAGGGAAATTCACAAATTTTAAGTAATTTTAATTATTAAGCTAGTTTTATTCATATGATTATGATCAGCAGAGTAAATTAATAAAAATTCTTTTAATTAAAAAGTAGATTTTCCTCTTTTCTACTGATTGCCTTTCATATACAAAAAAACAAATGAATGGATATGTTATTAGATATATGAAATATAGAAACAGATGTTTAAAATACAGTGAAAGTTCATATTATTTTCAATTGACCTAAGCGTTCATATTCCATTTATATAGTATTTCTTAACAAAAGATACAGGTAAAATAAGAGAAAATGATATATAATATATCTTTTATTTATATAAATATATAGATAATCTCATATTCAAAAAGACAAACTGGTATCTTCAACCTTAAAATGAAAGAAAAAGAAAGCATTATGTGTTAACAAATGCTATCTTTTATATGAAAAAAAGATCAAATAATTATAAAATAAGATTTATCAAAAAACAATTAAGTTTTAACAGATGAATTTAATGTAATTATTATTTTTCCTTTTAAGGTTTCAAATATAATGAATAAAAAAATGTGAAAAATAAGAAGAAAAACAGTTAGAAAGATGCTTTGTTAGTCTTATTACAAGTTTTGACAATATTTGATTTCAAAAGTAAAAGAAAAAGGAATCCATGTAAAAATTTAAAATAAAGCTTATATGTCAAAGATATGTAATTGGTATGGAAATATTTAGAATATTAGAAGGTCAAAAACATATAAATGCAAAAATTGCAATATAAAAATAAATAGAGATATTAATAGTGCTAGGGGAATATTCCTTCAGGTTTTGCTTGATAGAGCCTTGATTCTCTCCAAAGATCATGCAGAAAATAATAGCAATACTTAGTTTCAGAATAACCTATTCAAATTAATTTAGAATAAGTTCAACCATCCGGTACAGAGGGTTTGGTTGCTACTGATTCAAAAATTTGACCAGATTGTACCATACCTATAAGAGGAAAATAAAATAATGTGGAGCTATAAAAGGATGGGGGTTTGATGAAGAAAAAATGATATTTTTGCAGATAATAATGAAGATAATATGTTGGTAAGATCTGATGTCTAAGTATAATTTATAGTATCTTTTATCTAATAATGCTATTTCGCAGAGCAAGGGTTTTAAATAAATGTATCAAAAGAGAGGGAAATAACTTCACTTTGATCTATTACCTATTATTGATGTGTTATAATCCATCCGATCTGAAAATTCAAGTTCCAAATCAATATTTTTTGGATCAGATTATATCTTAATAATTTGCATAGCCATCAAACATGTGCCGATCGTTAGGTTACGCAGGAAAGGGGTTGTTTGGATAATCGAATAAAAAAAATATAAATACTAAGTTCCGAGATCTACTTCGAATACCACCTGAATGCCAATGCTATGGACGAAAATGTACAGTATTTATTGCCTTCGGGAATGTTCCTTATTTAAAAAATTTTATAGGAAGCTGTTGTTGCAAGAACGATAAATGTAATGAGCCTTAAGGAAAGTCATTTGATTATAAATTATGAACTTTATTTGTTTTAATTATTAAATGAATGTTTTAGTGCATTTGTTTTACTATCAAATGAAGGACAATATATCTTAGAAAGAACGTGTCATCAACTCGAATTAAAAATAAATTCATATATTAAATAATTTTCAACTGCTACAATTATTAATAATTAATGAAAGAGATTTTTTTTTTTTTAATTAAAATAATAAAAATCGTTACAAGTAAGGTGATCAAACAATTTGCATTGAATGGAAACCTGAACAATTAAACAATTATAGAAATAATAATAAAAAAAAAAAAATTTAATCAAAGTAAAATTGATCATATTTTTTTTTTCTTGGCAACTATATATTTATGAAATTTCAATCAACGAGGTTTTTGCCTATTGTGGACAATATACAGGCATTGCGATGCTCAAATTATAACGCAAAGACCAACGGTCTTGTAATCGATCAAGAATGAAGAAGTTATATTATCGGACGAAAATAATTTTTTTTTTTTTGTTCAAGGAATTTGTAGATCTTGAACCAAATAAAATTCAGCTTTTTAAAAAAACAACACGGGTTCAGTTATAATTATTAAAATTAACACGTGGAAATAAATGCCTTCCGCAACACCAATACATGCGCGTTTCTTCAAATTGATCGTCAAATCGTCATATTTGAACTCCCCACAAAAAAAGTTGCCATGTATAGTCATTGAAAAAAAAAAATGCATTATGATCATATGATAAAACGACAAATTAATGTCATGTAAAACATATTGGATTAAAATTCTCGGCATACAAAATTCAAATTTGGAAAGATTTTTTTTTTTATTGTGTTTGGGAATTTTATTTTGGAGTAATTATTAACTACCGAGAGACCCTTAAAGATTTCAAGGATATTGTCATAAACACCGATAACCTTCGATATTCACTATTAAAAGGAAAGATTTGTAAATCATTGGATGATTTCAACAAACTTTCACGTGTTAAATCCCCAAATTATTTATAGAAAATTTCCATTTCGCATACCGAATAGTCGGATTGTAATATACTTAATGTATATAACCATATATCTATTTTTTTTATTTATTTTTTATTTTTTTTTGACAACTAATTACAATCCTTTGGTGGAAGTTTTAAGGAGAAAAAAATGATTAGATTTATTATTATTTTCGAAATTAATGAAATTATTAATTATTTCTCGGAATTGACATTTATAACGATTTAATTAATGACAAATCGTGTGATCGCGTAAGGCACCGATGGTCATATGTTTTTTTTTTTTTTTTTTAAAAAAAAAACACAAATATGCAATGCGAGGTGATGTTTAAATGTATCGAGTATCGGATATTTCAAGATTATCCCACGGCGATGTTCATGGGTGTGACAATTTGCATTTTATTTACATTTTTGATAAGTACATACAACAAAGATTGATTATTCTTTCACATTGTTCTTTGATAAACCAAGCCGGCAGAAACCGATTGAATTCGGTTCCAAAGTGAACATACATATACATATTGACACATACCAAACAACAAATATAATCTAAAATAAAATTTATAAATAAACAATTAGATAATCAATATTTAAACAATCCACTATTCTCTTAAAGAGAATACGAAATATCATGAGACTTAATTTGGTGAATAGTTGTTCAACTCTTCCATTTTCCAACAAGAAAATTCTGCGGGGTTTTAACGATTTCGAGTTAAAAGTGAGTTTTGTTTCTTAATTGGCCCCATTCTATTAACACATTAGAATTAAGTCTAATAAGGCAGTACATTATTTCGTTTTTTTTTGGTTTCGGAAATTGATTCACGCCCTTGTTTTATTTTAAATTCCATTTTTATCATCTATACTTTCCCAATTGTCGTTTAAATTCAACTAAATGTTTATGCTTTAAAAGTATATTTATGACTTCCTAAATTGGGAGTTTCATGTTAGAGTAACATCCACTCGTTATTTTTATAAAGTAGATTTTCAATGCACTTAATGCACTTTAAAAAAAATTTTTTATATATATCGATTTTTTATATAAAAATCGAATCACTTAACCACTTTTCACATATATAATCCTTTAACCAAATCAAATATTTTTTCCCCAGATTTTTTTTGGGTTTTTTTTTTTTTTCGGTCTTTTTTTTTTTTTTTTTTTTTTTTTTTTTTTTTTTTAAAAAAAAAATATTTTTATACTTACCTTTAGATTAATTATTCCGAAGCAAAATTTTTACCGAGCAATAAAAAAAAAAAACTCTCCTTTATTCCCCAGAAAGAAGATTTTTTTTTTCAATAAAAAGTTTATAACATGGCTGATAGATTTCGAGGAGTACCGGGCTTATTCATGCCTACAAACAGTATAGTAAAAGACTCGAGCGGTTACAATGACAATATCTTTGAAGGCAAGGCTGACCAAATGCTTAAGGTGTGCGAATACTTGGAAAAAAAAGGGTTCATACCTCAAGATCTCGTCCGTCACGAAGTTTCGTGGTTTTATGGGTAAGAGTTATGACCTTTTTTCATCTCCGTTAATGTGGCAATATTTAAATATTTAAGTTCTTATGGAAAGGATTAAATTTTCCCGAAATTTATATATTATATTATTTATTTAATTATTGTCACAATAATCACGCAGTTGATTTATTTTCTAATCTCAATATTTTATAATTTATGTATTACCTAATTTGCTCACATGACTTGACGTAAATAGAAATCTTGGTATCGATGACATGTACTTCAGTTTGGAAAATGTTGAAACCATTGCCAACCATATTTTGGCCCTTTATGGGGCAAAGATTTTTTCGTACACAAAAAATGACGAACGTGAGCTTGATATTAATCTAGAAAGGGAAACCGATGATGGCGCAGTATATATACACACATCTCGTCCTGGCGTTTCTCAACTGCAGGGTCCTCAGCACGAAAAAAGGTATCTATCATGATTTTGCGTTTACCTCACATGATTGGGTATGCTTCGGTTCTAATACTTGAAAATTATCGTAGAATCGATTCTCGATATTTAGATGTTAGTAATACTACCAATGCTTATCGTTTGGAATCCTATCGTTCTCATGGAAATGTTTCTCCTTCTGTGAACACGCAACTTCGTTGCTACTTTGTTGCCAAATGTGATTTTGTGAAACCAGTTCCCGCTCCCGAGGAAGAAACCGATATTCGTCTTGTGGGTGATAGGACATTTTTAGAAAAGGCTACGGAAAATACTTTAGAGATTTATCAAAACGTTGTGAAAGCTGTTCTTTGTAGGACCGGCCCCGTTATCGAAATGTTTGAAGTGGAAGGGAGTCGTGAAAGGCGTCTTGTCATTGGTTACCGACAACGCAGTACACAATCATTCTTCTCCGCAATGTCGGACCTTTACCATTTTTATGAACTGTATTCCACTAGGAAATATGTCGGTTAGTATCTTTAATATCAACTTTTCGTTTTAAAAATTTATAATCAATCGTTAACATCTTTTATTTGATCATTCTAGAACAATTTTCGAATGGTGTTACCGTGATGAGCCTTTATCTTAATCCACTTCCAAATTCAAAATCCTCTCCAATTGAGCATTCGATCCATCAAGTAATCAAGGAGGCTTCACTCATTTATTGTTTACCTACTACACCATTCCAGCAATTTTTCCAAACTGGAAAGTTGTCCGTTCAAGAGACAATTTATGGTTATGTTGGTTGGATCTTTGCTCAACATTTCCTCAATCGTTTGGGTAATGAATATGTTAGTCTTGTAAATATTCTAGATCAAAACGATCCCGTTCATGCGGAAGTCCTGAACAAAATCAAAAAGAGATTACGTTCAGATGCTTTCACACGTGAATACATTTTGGATATTATAAAAATGTATCCAGACTTGATTCACTTATTGTATATCAACTTTGCATTGACTCATTATGTTAATCCACGTGCTGCTGCTCTTGAGTAAGTAAAAGATTTATATCTATATTTTAGGCTCTTTAATTGCGCACTGTGAATTTTGAAAATTCATTTATGATTTTTTTTTTTTTTTTTTGTAAAGACCTACGTTATCATTTCAACGAATTCAAACTGATGTTGTGCTTAATGATGATGAACTTTTGGATAAAATCAAAAAAACAACATCAAATGTTCACGAATTCATTGTATTTGAATCCTTCTTGATTTTCAACAAACATGTTCTTAAGACCAATTTCTATCAACCAACCAAAGTAGCATTGTCCTTCCGTCTTAATCCCGCTTTCTTGCCATCAATTGAATATCCAACCAAACTTTATGGTATGTTCATTGTTATTGGCTCCGAATTCCGAGGTTTCCATTTGAGATTTCGTGATGTCGCTCGTGGTGGTATTCGTATCATCCGTTCTAGAAACAAGGAATCTTACAGTATAAATTTGAGATCTCTATTTGATGAAAATTATGCATTGGCTGCTACTCAACAAAGAAAGAATAAGGATATTCCTGAAGGTGGTTCAAAGGGTACAATTCTCTTGGACATCTCACAACAAGACAAGGATCGTGTTGCATTTGAAAAGTATGTTGACAGTATGCTCGATCTTTTAATCACTGGAAATTCTCCTGGTATTAAAGAGGTGAAGTATTTAAATGATTAAATATATATGTTTAAAACTTCTTTGATGAATTTTATATTTAATGAAATGTTCTTTATATGATTATTACCTTAACTTTTTAAATAGAAGATTGTTGACTTATACAATAAACCAGAAATTTTATTCTTTGGTCCAGATGAAGGAACTGCAACTTTCGTTGATTGGGCTAGTGCACATGCTCGTACTAGAGGAGCTTCATTCTGGAAAGCTTTCACAACTGGCAAAAGTCAATCCATGGGAGGTATTCCTCACGATCTTTATGGCATGACAACCCGTTCAGTACATCAATATGTACTTGGAATTTACAGAAAACTTGGTCTCAAAGAATCAAAGATTACGAAATTTCAAACTGGTGGACCTGATGGTGATTTGGGTAGTAATGAAATTAAGATTTCAAAAGATCGTACAGTCGGTATGTACATTATGTGTGAATAAAATCAAGTTTGAAAATATTATCGATATTAATTTAAATTTTCTATTGTGCTTAGCCATTGTTGATGGTAGCGGTGTAATATGTGATCCTGAAGGTATAGATAGAAGTGAATTAAAACGATTGGCCACTCATCGTTTAACGATATCGAACTTCGATGATTCTAGATTATCTCCTAACGGATTTAAGATTTTAGTAGAACAACAAAACATCAAGTTACCAAGTATGTTAAGTATTAAGTTTGTTAATATTTTAATTAATTTGGAAACTTATTAACCTAAACAAAAAAATTATAGACGGCCAAGTTGTCGAGGACGGTTTAGTATTCCGTAATAATTTCCATACAACACATCTTGTTTCTTCCGATCTCTTTGTTCCATGTGGCGGTAGACCAGAAGCTGTTGACCTTAACAATGTACATTTGCTTCTTGATAAAAATGGTAAATCAAGATTCAAGTTTATCGTGGAAGGTGCAAATCTTTTCTTCACTCAAGAAGCTCGTATCAGGTTAGAACAATCTGGTGCGATAATATTCAAGGATGCATCGGCCAACAAAGGTGGTGTAACGTCATCATCATTGGAAGTTTTAGCAGCTCTCGCATTGACAGATGATGAATTTGCAAAGAATATGCAAGTTAGGGACAATGTCATCCCAGCATTCTATAGTGAATATATTAAAGAAGTTCACAGAGTCATCGAAAAGAATGCAGAATTAGAATTTGAATGCATTTGGAGGGAACATCGAAGAACCAACAAGCCACGATCGATCATTTCTGATGAACTCAGTCTTGCCATTGTAGATCTAAATGAAAATATGCAAACATCAAGTCTATGGTCAAATGTTCCATTAAGGAAGACAGTATTAAGAGATGCATTCCCACAATTACTTCTTGATAGATTAGGATTAGATACTTTATTAGAAAGAGTTCCTGAACCATATGTGAAAGCCATATTTGGATCTTATTTGGCTAGTAGATTTGTGTATAAGTACGGAACAAACCCATCACAGTTTGCTTTCTTTGAATTTATGAATCCTTTCTTTGCGAAAATCAGTGATCAATATAACTGACTGAATAATGATGAAGAAATCAACGAAGTAATCAACGAGGAAATCAACGAAGAAATCAACGAGGAAATTAACGAGGAAAATGGTGGAATATTTAGTTGGGAAAATGAAAATGAAAGAACCATTTCGATATATGATTCGAATTATTTTATTTTATTGTTTAGTAATTTGATCGTTTTAATATTTTCTTTGAGTCATGGATTATCTGATTTCTCGTTAGACGATTACTCTTTTTTTTAAGGACGCACTGTAAAAAATTAATTTATTTTGTTTCATTTTCTCGTTTTGTATTATTTAAATTCATTTATAGAACGGCCAAGTAACATAATTAAATTTTTGATATTCATGATATTGAAAGTACTTCTACTTTTTTTTTTTTTTTTTTTTTATAGTTTTATTATTATTCTCATTTAATATATATGTACCATCATTATCATCATTTGTATCCGATAATTTGCTTTTCTTAATACCTACTTCCAAAAATACAAAATAGAGAACAATTTTAATAAAGAAAAAAAAAAATAATCGTTTTTTTTTTTTTGTGAATATTGTTTGATTGCAAAATAATCTTAATTTTTTTTTTTTAGCAGGTTGGGTTTGATTTTTATTTCTTTAATTCTTTATTTTTTTTTTTGACGTGTGATTGATATATCTTCTCCATTTTCAGCATTACTACTTTGGTGATTATAACTCGTTTGATCTAAAGATATTTTCAGGTTTCTCGGAAAATAATTGATATCCTTTACGAGTAGGATAATTCTTTGAAGCATTACATTCAGTACATAAAACTTGATAACATGGTTCAGGACGCGCTATGATTAAACTCAATTAAGAATGATTAAATTTATTAAGATCAGCGAGTTATTAGACTTACATTTAATTCGAACTCGTGAAGTTACTCCAGGTAATAGAATGGATTCACATCTTTTACATAGGGTACGTTTTATCGAAGGATCTATACGCAAAACCTGTTTTTTACCAATTGTTTTCATGGTATTTACGTAAAATCTACCAAGCGAAGCTAAATTATTTGTATTTGAATTAGAAGGTGTAGTTGTTATTCTTGTTTTACTTTTTGTTGAGGGCACTTGTTCTTGTTGCACCGAGGAGGATTGTGTCAGAGAGTTTGAACTGTAAGTTGAAGGCTGTTGTTGTTTTGGTTTTTTTATACTTGTAATCGTTGTCATTAATGTTGCTGCTTGATAAAGAAAATTCATACGCTGATATATTTCTCTATGCTGTACTAAACGTGGTTCTTTCTTTTTTCCCATCCTTCTCTTTCCGTGAAATGTTAAATCTGTAGGAAATCACATGGCAGTTTGCTCAAGTTGGTCTTTTTTATAGCGTTAGTCATAAAATTCATACGGCACGTGCCAATTTATGCTGATCACGTACATCGGGATCGACATAAAATCCGACATTCAAGCGTTTTAACCCGTTATGTCATAGAGGATCGACTTACGCCCCCTCCCCCCTCTAAGAGGTAATGTGCAGTCTTTTAAAACGATCGATTTTACCTACTAATACTATAAAGTTTTGTTTTAGAAAAAAAATTAATGAATTTATTTTAGCAAAATGATCGGCGTTCAAAAATAGGAAGTACATGTGATTGTATTTATTCGAAATGTACATGGTTTAATTTATGAACACAAAGTGATCGATCTACCCAGATCCAGAACCCAAAGTCTCGGTTATTGGAAGCCGGAGTCATTTCAATAAAATCAAAATATACTAGACATGTATTTCGATTTCAGAAACGATCCATTCATTTGATACTTCATATTTTATTTATATGAAATAAAACATATAATGACGCAGCAAATTAAAAATTGAAATTTAAATACTGAAAAAATATGATCAAACGTTACAAGTTGAAAAATTATATCAATGAAAAGTCACGGTTTGGTAAGATAAAAGCTTTATCTTTATGCCATTCAAAATTTATACAATCTTTATTAAATAATAATATCAAGAAACGAGGAAAATTTATTTAGCAATACCAACGATCGGTTTCTTTCTCTCTGCTTGATATGGAACCGTCCCTTTTTTGGAATGTCTTCGCAAATTGTCTTCTTTCTGTCGCTGAGATTGTAACATAATACGCTTGGTGTTCTGAGCGCTTTTAATTGCCTTTGGGACGTTACGATGTCTTTATAAAATTTATGTGGGAATAATTATTTAATATGCATTTATCATCATTGAAAGGAGAACATCACTTAAAAATCTTACTTTGCAATTCTTCTAATCTCTGGAAGGTACTTATATCGATCAATAAGTTTCTCTTGATATTCCAAATGAGCACGTTCTCTATAGTCCTTCTGAAGATCATTACAAACGATATTAACAATAATTTTTGATAAAATAAAATTTCAACTTAATATTATTTCATTACCGGTCCAAGTTTCTCGGATGCTTTTGCTTTCCATAGTCGAATACTACCATCATCTGAACCAGATAGAACAAATTTTGAATCCATGCTAAATTTAACACAAAAAATGCGCTGCATTCGTTTGGTATGATATATATCTCGACTATGTCCTTGACGTGATGAATAAATCCTCAATGTTCGATCATAAGCTCCAGTGACTATTTCTTCACCTGTTGGCGAATAATCTAAATCTAATCTGTTTTAACAAATTTTCAGTTAAAATAAACTTAATTAATGATGAATAAATTACAAAAAAATTAAAATTAGTTAATTATTTACACTGCAGATACATGATCTTTGAGGACATTTAATGCACAGTCCATTTTGCGCATATCAAATGTGTAACAGTTATGATCCTCATTCGCCTAAAATTCATGATAAAATGTATTTGATTTGCTGATTTATTCAGATATATGAATCATACCAAAAAAAAAATAATAATAAATTTTGAAAATACCGCTGTAAAGTTGAATGCTTCCATTGGATTCCATGCTATAGCATTTGTTCTCATCTATAAAATATTTGAGATAATAGATTAATTCATTTATTCATAAAAATGATCATATAGACATTAATATTAAATTTGAAATAACCTGCAAAACCAATTTTGCCAGTGGGGAATTCATTCTGAGGTCATAAAGGATTATGGTTCTGTCCGTACCACAACTGCCCAGAATGTTAGTCTCTATTTGATTAAATCGAACAGTATTAATTGTATCTGCTCCCCAACTCAAAGTTTTGATGGGGTCCGACCTATCAAATTAATTTCAAATTATTTCATAAATTGTGAAATTGCTACGTCAATTCCTTAATTGAATTTCTTCGTTTACCTATTTTCATCCCAAATGTCAACTTGTGATCCGGAAGTGGCAAAAATTGGGTCATGACGATGATGATCAATCGCACTATATATAAACGAATATTATAAATACATGTGTCTTTCAAGTTAATCAAAGCAATTCATTTCAAATTGAGAATCTTACCTGAAAGCAAATTTTCCAATGTAGGTACTTAATGGCTGATATGAAAAACAAAATAAATCAATAAATGATTTCATTAAATATTAATAAAGTTTTGAATGATCAAATATTACATCTTGACCCGATAGATCAGGACTCCAAATCTTCACGGTTTTATCGGTTCCACAAGAAAAGTATAAATTTCCCTTTGTCGGACTACAACAGACACCTTTCACAATGCTTTTATGTCCAACAACCTTCCATATTGTATCCCGATTCGACAAATCCCATAACCTCAATTCTAATTTAAGAATGTTGTTTAGTTAAACATATAATTCAGAAAAATTGAACGTATTTGAACCTACCTCCATCACCACTCCCCGTCACAATGGTGGTTAGCTTTTTAGGGTGTTTGGCCATACAATAAACGCCATCAGAATGACCAGATAATGCACCAACGAATGGCTTTGCAAACATTCGTTCCAACTTTACGGCATTAAGCGCTCTGGTGTATTCACGAGCCTTTTCCAAAGGGTGTAATGTGGGGTCATAATTCCGTTTAATTTTGTGAATATCTTGAGGCGTTTCACGTGTATACTCTGAGGCGGCTCGAGAAAGAACTTTTACTTTCTGCAAATAAATAAAAATAAAAATTACTTTTTTTTGATTATTAAAAGATAGATTTTACATAAAAATCCCTATACCATTGTGAAAATGTCTGAATATCGGATTTTGGAATCCGATAATTCGGGAGATTATAAATGATTTCTAAATTTAGTAATAAGATAATGAGTTGGAAATATTTTCGGAAAATTTTCACCTCTGTGAAATTCGGGAAAAAATTTTGGTCGGCCGGAACTCGTGTATAAAGTCGTGTACTTTGAAAATAAAACAACTGCAAGTATTATTATAAAAGTTTTAACTCGGAACGAGTAAAGATTTTTACAAGTTTCATATATAGTTTATAAACTTCTAATAAATTCAAAAATGGTAAAGGTTAGAACGCCAGGACGCGAAGCTTTTCGGTGAGTGATCTATTTTTCAGACGCGGTTACAACTTTTTTTTAAGAAATTCAAGCACATCGAGGCTTCATTCTTTTTTTTTTTTTTTTTTTGGAACGACAGTACACCTCCAATTACAGCGTTTTTTCCTCTAGCACCAAATAATAACAAGTTTGTTTCTTTCAACTTAAGTTAGCCTGTGAAAAATCGCAATTTACTAATAAATTTGATATCTGTTTTTAGTAACTCAACAGAGAACCCTACGCCGGTCTCGAGTAAACACGATAATGAGAATTTATCATCATACAAAGGTACAACACCCACAAAAAAAAAAAAAAGTATATTGAAGAAATATGAAACTCCAAAGCGTAATAAGCCAAAGTATGCAACTCCTGAAACTCCATTAAAAAGTCACAATGTAACTCCTGAAACCCCACTTAAAAGTCGTCAAGCGAATGATGTTAAAATAAAAAAGGTGGTTCTATCCGTAAGTGATGATGATGATGATGATGATGATATGAAGAGTATTCCCGATGTAAGTAAAACTATCAATATTTAAAAATATTAAATTCAGACAATTTTTTCATAGTCACTTTTATTAGGTCATCGAAGACGATGAAGATGACGATCTTTTATCAAAAGCAGATTTTAGTTGTATTCAAGAAATATGTATTCAAGAAGAAGAAAGGTTTGAATATAATTATAAATATATCTTTCTTTATATATTAAGAAGAATTATTTAATATATGGATATGAAAACTTTTGCTTAGCAATAGGTCTGAAAATTTGCGTCGAAGCAAGCGTTCTCGACGCGTTGTATCCCAAGAAGGATTTGTTCCAACGGTTGACGTTGTTCCAATGAAAGGCGATATTCCGTTGGTGGACGCGTCATCATTACACATAAAAAATACAAAAGTTAATGGTACTGTGAAACAATCCTATCAAAATTCTTTATCCTCACTTCTTCGAGAAAAAAAGTTACGAGAAAAAGTAGGTTATAATATTAATGCTATGGAAAAAATACTTATGAACGATGTAAGTGTTATTTTTATCATGAATATTATATATTGAGTATTATTTTTTAATTGAATCTTTATTTTTCAGATGTTAGATGAAATGGAAGACCCTTATGATAGTTATGATCGATTGGAAATATCTGCTTCGATCTTGAATGAAGATATAAAGTGTGATCAGTTGCAGCAGGTTGTTACATGGAACTATGTATTAAAATGAAATCATCATAGCTATCTTTTAATTCTGGTATAATTTTTTTTTTTGATACGTTAGATATTCGAAGAAGATTATGAACATGATCAAAATTATCAAATAGAGTTCTTCGAAACCTTGCATTCGGTAAAATTTGATAAGTTAATTATTCGAATTTTTTATGAAATTTCTTTTATTTTTTTTTTCTAAATGTTTAAATTTATTATGATAGAATCCACAAATTTCTAATTTGCAATCATGTATTCCCGCGATTGATGATTTGACATTTGATTTATTATTAAGAGTATCCTCTGGTAAATTAAAATTTTACATCTAAAAAATAAAATTATTTATTTTTAATACGTAATTTGCCCTATACTAATCATATTGTAATTTACAGACAAGAAAAAGCTCAAAGATATTCTTTGTAGCGATTGGATTGCTCATCGATGTGAAATTGGCTGGCAGTTACCTATTGAGATTATGATTTGGCTTCTTCATTTAGGTGAATATTCTCTTCGCGTTATGAATTACCTCTTCAAGTTTTTTTTTAATTTATACAAAACCTTTTGCTTCAGTAAGCTATGAGGAAGACGAAATAATTTCAGAAGCATCTTTTAATACATTAAAAAATATTGCAGAAATTAAAGTAATTATATATATCATAATGTTTGGTTTATTTTTTTCTCCGTTATTTATTTAATCTAATTTTTAAATAATGTAGAAAAATTTTAATGTCAGCCTAAACGATGAAGTTGAAAATACATGTGTTCCTTTTTTGGAGGTATATAATATATTAGCCACGTTGGGTGCGTCAACACATATGATCAGTTTACGGTGTTGCTTGGAGAATAATACTAGGCAGAGTTCTATATGCGGTATTAACTTCGTTTAGTTATTTTTGATTAATTACAGAGTATTAAATGATAAAAAAAAAATTTTTTTAAATAGAGGTTCCCCCTGAATTCCATTACTTCGACAATATAAGGCTGTTATTGAAAACGCTTGTGCCTATGATTGACAGCAGGTTATAGAGATTTTGTTTACATGAATGAACTTTGTAATAGACAAATTAATTTATTCTATATTATAGGCTATTCACCTTTTCGAACTCTGAAGAAATAAGGAAATCTATCATTGTACTTCTTCGATTGCCCTTGGATAAACGACTAATGTCGTTATCCAACGAAGTAGAGCAAGTTGTAATTTCGCTTCTAGCTATGTTCCAAGAAGACCAATGGATGGAACAAGTTAGTATTTAATCTCTATTGAGTGTATTTAATCTAGATGACATCACTGAAATGATATATTATATTTTCAAAGGCCAAGCTTATATGTAACGAAATTGAATTTTCATGCGGCTCTATAACTCAGTTCAAAGTGGCCATAATAGAAAATTTACCAATTACTAATCGCGGACGCTTATTAAAACATTTCTTGGCTGTTCGATTCTTAATTGGTTGTGCGTCACCATTGCCTCAGCAAATGGACATAGTAATCCTTTTTTATTTAATATCCTTACTTTTGTTATGATTTGAAATATTTTAACTAAGAGAAATCGTTTTATCTTTGAACCTTACACAGATTAACGTAATGCAACCTGGGATCTTGAACACTCTTCTGTATCTTTTCCAAGATCATTCAACTATTTTTAAAATTAAAGATGACACAAATTACAATGAATTATATCACCATATTTTGCTGCTTAGTTATGCTTTAGATGACGAAGCCTTGTTGAGAAAAGCTAAGGTAATAATTTACATCTTGCATTATAGTAAATTTATAAATTTTAATTAATTCTAGATTTTCAATGATAGGAAACAGTTGAAGAAATTATCAAAAAGTTAAAAATATTACATGGGAAAATAGGTAAAATTATCTAACCATATTAGTTTGGCATATATAATACATAATATCTTATCCTTTAATTTATGATTAGTGGACATGCGAGCTGCTTTTATGGATCGAACAAAGGTAAAACATCATAAAATGTATAGTTCTGTTATTAATTTAATATATATCTTAACAATTATATTTTTTTTTTTCTAGACCAAAGATCTAATTCAAAGACTTTACGTACGACTTTATTACATATCCAGTCGTCAAGGCGAGAAGACCCAATCTAGTTTATTAGTCTATTCGCCAAAAAAAACACAAAAAACATCGGGTATGTATTTGGACCATGAGGAAAACTGAATTGCATCAATTAAGGTAATCTATTTATATTTAAATGTATATTTATTTCTTTTTTTTTGCAATGATTTTCTCAATTATTATTGTTATTATTATTATTATTATTTATTTATAGACGGAATTTTTTATGGAATTATTCTGGTGGTTTCAAAAATCCAATAGATCTTCTTTTAAATTCGCTACTGTCAAGTTTTGTAATCTTTTGTGGAATTTCTCCTTCTTCCAATTCTTCTCCCAATTCTTCTAATTTTTCTAATTCTTCAACCTTTTCAAACTTTTCCAATGCTTCAAAATCCTCTTCAATTTCACCTAATTCTAGTTCATATTTCGAGTTTTTACTCAAAGTCTTATCTTCTAGTTCATAGGTTCTCTTTGAGTTTTTTAAAGTTGTATCCTGGATATATTCGTATTTTCGCTTATTATTAACCTGTATACTGTTCGCTCTTTTTATAGAGCTTCTTGATGAAGATCCATTTGATTCTTCTATTGTTGTTATATTAGTCGGAGCTCTTTTCTAACTCGAAGTAATTCGGGTTAGTTTAAAAAGACGATAAAATTTGGAAACAATGTTATATAAACAAATCAAATATATAGTGATTTATTAATATCATCTTACCTTATTAACTTTTTTGGAACGTCCAAAAGACAATCTTCCGTTTCCTACTTCAGGTGTCGCAAAAGATAGATAACTTGGCAAATACTCCACATTGAATTTACTTTTTAATACATAATAAATTTTAGTTAATTTATAAATGAATAGTAAATTTTTACACGACTTACGGTTTTCCAACTTCAAGTTCATCGTAAAAAGCAATCCACTGAGATTCTCCAAGGGCTCTAGAACGTTCTCTTTCCAATTTTTCACGCAAAGCTTTTTCTTGCTGCCTTTGCATAAACTATATATTTTTATTTTATTTTTTAAAAAATAGACATTAGATCGCTCAACAAACTTCAAATACTTGTGAAAAACACATATATAACCTTAAGTTCTAAAATGTTATCCGAAAGCTTTGGTTTCCTGTCTGTTTTTAATTCGAAATGTTCCATGTTTATTAAACTATGGATTCTCGTTGTAGAGTTATGCAACGTATAAATATACACTTTTTTAAAGTCACGTGATTTATTATCTAATCGATCAAATTTTATTAATTTAAGCAAAATAATAAGGTTTATAACAAAAAAACGTATTAATGAGTAGACATCTATTAAATGTATATAGAAAATATAGATATATTATATATAATGAACTTCAAGCGTAATTGTCCTTTTTGATTAATATTTAAGGAATTTTTTTTTTTTTTTTTGTTTTATCCATTGAAAAAATATATTATGTTTTGAAGAAAATGATTTGATTTAAAAATAATCTTTATCCACGGGTAAACTTTCCATATATATGAAGAATGAATACAGAACCGATAAAAGAAAGTGCAAGTACAATAACAACAACTGGGTCTCTATATAAAAGAGATCATTATTATTAATTATGAATTAATTTTTGTAGAAAATCAATTTAAAAAATAACTTACACTCTTAAACCTGGAGCATCGTCAGTGTACAATTTCATCATAGTTGAAGAACTGCCACCGGATCGAGATACGGTAGCGTTTCCAGTAGTTCGCCTTCTATAATATTTAAGATTGTCTTTTGTTAGATTCCCCTTATTTGATTATGATATTATTTACAGATGAAAAAAAAATAAAACTATTTGAATATTGAAAGGTTGGTCGTTCTTACCTAACAGCACCTTTTGGTGATCCAGATGCAGCAGAGTCCTATTTAAAAATAAATAAAAAAAAAAAAATAGTTACAACTAATTATCGATAATCGTTCTTTGAAACGAGAATATGTTTATACATACTGCCATTTTTAATTTTAAGAAGTTTGTTAAAAAGAGAGAAAAAAAAAATTTAATAATGAATGTAGGAAAAGAAAAATTGGAAGAAAAACAAAAATGGAAAATACTAAATTTATATTTTAATTTATGATACGAGGCAAATAATTATTGGTGAATTTGTTGATATTTGTTTAACATCCTTAACGGGTAACAAATTCATGAAATCATGTGACTGATTATGTCAAACATTAAATTTGTTTTCACTTCACGAAATTAATCTTATAAGCAACATATTCATTTGCTCCTTTTCTTAGGATTAAATCTCCTCTTCTCCCAAAGTGTTTTTCATGTTGTAACTAATCCTTGATTTACTCTTTTTTTTATTTTTTGATAAATTGAAAAATTAATAATTAATTAATTTATAATATATTTTTGATTCTTTTATTAAATGTTTTAAAGAAAGTTATAAAATTTATAATGTTTTAAAGAAAAAATGTATGAAAATAAAGAGTATAAATTTTAACTAATTTATTAATTTTACTATATAAGTGAGTAATGATTTTTATAAAAGTAGAAAAATATATTATTCTTATAATAAAAAATCAGTTAAATTAAAATAAAGTTTAAGTATTAAATAAAAGATATCTAAAAGCATTTTGTTGATTAATTATATGTAGATTAGGAAATATTATATAATTTAATTAGCAATTTCTTTAATATTATATTTAATAAATAAAAAAATAATTATAATATTTAGATAAAAATTATTAAATAATTTAAAAATAAAAAATATATTTTTTTTAAAATGATTTAGATAATTTTTATATTAATAATATCTACTAAAAAATATAACTTTACTTTTATTTTTTTTTAAGATCAGTCTTCTTTGGATTTTGAAAATTAACTGATAAATTAATTTTCTTCTTTTTGAAATATGTGAGCTTTTTTAAAATATTTACTAACGTTTTTTTCTTCTCTCTTTTAGGATCAGTTTTTCTTTAAATCTTAAGAATTAACCAGTAAGTTTAATTTCTTTTTCTTGAAATAGGTAAAATGTTTACTATATCCTTTTTTATTTTTATTTTTATTTTTATAGAACTGATTTTCTTTAAAATAATATTTATTTTTTCAAAATCTTTATTGTATCAAAAAAATTTGTTATAAATAAATTTATTAAATGTTTATAAAATTTTTCTTTATATATTATTAAACAGCTTTTAACTAGTAAATTCAATATAACAAGGTTTTTTATCTATATTATACTAAAATTTGTTATATTAAAATTTATTATATTAAGAGTTAATTGTACTGTACTATTAAAAGGATAAATATAATTTAAGTAAATATATTAATAAATTAAAGATTTATCATATAAATAAAGTTATTTAAGTCTGATTTAATAGAATAATACTAATAAAATAATTTTAAATCTCTATTGATTTTAATAATAAATTATTGTAATTCAAAGTAAAATCATATTTAAAGAAAATAAGTTAATTTTTTGAAATAGACATTGAAAAATATAATTTGTATTTAATAAAATTATATTTATTTAAAGATAATACTATTAATTAAAAATAAAACTCAATTCTTAATGTTAAAAATTATTTATCAGTAAGAGATTTATATTTGAATTTAATATTAATATAATTTAAAAAACATATATAAAATAACAAACTATTTATTATGATAATTAAATTACATTATAATTTACATTTCTTAAAATCACTTTTTTTCTTTACTAGCAACTTAAAAAAAAAAAAATAGAATTTTAAAAATAAATATAAAATTACAAGTGATGCTGGCCAAGGAGTCACGTGAAAGTAAATTTGTTTGATGGACATTTTCAATTTTAACTTTCTTTTCTCTCTCTTTTGGAGTTTCCAGTAATTTGAAAAATTAGTTTTGGAACACTCTAAAGTTTAATTGACCTATCGTTAAAATAAACGAACCCGATATGAATTCATATTAAAAAATTATTATATCGATCGCATCATGTGCTACTAGAAAGCAATACATGAATTTCTCGTGATTATAGTCTGACTGGGCAAATCAATTTGGATGGTGATTATCATAGTATGGGGCAAAAATTTCTTATAAATATAAGGTGAATTCGATAACTTAAATTTATTTCTGCTTGATAACGATAACAAACAAATATGCCATCATTTATTGGTTCAATAGATCAAGGAACAACATCTTCCCGATTTTTGATATTCGATTCAAAAGGAAATTTGGTAACTTATCATCAAGTCGAGTTTCCTCAATACTATCCTAATCCTGGGTAAGTTATTATAAATACAATGTCCTCCTCCAATTAACAAAAAATTGGAAAGAAAATAATCTAATTAGAAGGATTCATTATTAATTAATGTCTAATGGGTGAACACTTATGTTTATTTTTATTTTATTTTATTTATTTTTTTTTTTTGTGGTGAAAGTTGGATTGAACATGATCCTACTGATCTTCTCGAAACAGTTTATAAATGTATTGAAGAAGCTCTAAAAAAATTTGTGAAAATGGGTAATGCCATTACTGATATTAAAGCCATCGGTATTACAAATCAGAGGGAAACTACTCTTGTTTGGGACAAGCAAACTGGGAAACCTCTATACAATGCCATTGTATGGTGTGATGTTCGTACGCATGATTTAGTGCATGAATTAACTGCTAAATCTGAGTTAGGAGTTAACGCATTAAAGGAAGTTTGTGGACTTCCTATTTCCACCTATTTTTCAGCAGTAAAACTCAAGTGGCTTCTTGACAATGTGCCCGCGGTTAAAGAAGCACATGAAAAAGAGACCATATTAATGGGGAATGTCGATACTTGGCTAATATATGTAAGTTTGCATCATTGATTGATTCCGCAGTATGTATTCCATAACAATATTATTAAATCAACTTTGGTTCGCATAGAATTTAACGGGCGGAATTGATGGTGGAATGTTTCTCACAGATGTAACAAATGCCTCTAGAACTATGTTGATGGATATCAAGAAATTACAATGGAGTGAACAATCACTTAAATTTTTCGGAATTAAAAAATGCGCTCTTCCACAAATATATTCTTCTTCAGAGAAATATGGTGATATCAAAATAACCGATTTAGCGGGAATTCCAATCGCTGGTGTCTTGGGTGACCAGCAATCTGCCTTGGTAGGACAAAAATGCTTCCGACGAGGGGAAGCAAAAAACACTTATGGAACAGGGTGTTTTATGTTATTTAATACTGGTACTGATCCTGTGATTTCCAAATCTGGTCTACTCACCACCGTAGGTTATAAGTTTGGCAAGGAGGACACTGTGTACGCTCTTGAAGGTTCAATTGCTGTCGCCGGTTCAGCAATCAAATGGGTTCGTGATAATTTATGTATTATAAACGAAACGCATGAAATTAATAACCTTGCCGCTTCCGTTAAAGACACTGGTGGTGTCTATTTTGTAACGGCCTTTTCTGGCTTGTTCGCTCCTTACTGGCGTGATGATGCGCGTGGTTGTATCGTTGGGATCACCCAATACACAAACAAATCACATATTGCCCGTGCCACTTTAGAAGCGGCTTGCTTCCAAACACGTGCAATTTTGGATGCTATGAATAACGATTCGGGTCATCCTTTAACTTCTCTTAAGGTAGATGGTGGTATGACAAATTCGGATATTTGTATGCAGATTCAAGCTGATATTCTTAGAATAAATGTTGACCGTCCAGCAATGAAAGAGACCACTGCGCTAGGTGCAGCCATGGCAGCTGGTCTTGCTGTTGGCATATGGAAATCTTTGAGTGAATTAGATGAAGTTAATAGTAAAGATCGAACAACCTTTTTTCCTAAAATGTCTGAAGAAGAAAGTGAACAAAAATACAAAGCTTGGCAAAAAGCTGTTGAAAGAAGTTTAGATTGGGTGGTTTAGTTTTAAATAATAACTTCAATTTCGGTTGTTTAACATGAAGTCCATTGACTTGTACAGTTAATATTGATCATTATTTAAATTTATTTTTATTTTTTTTATTCTTTTATATTTATTTTGTAATATTCAAAAAGAGACTTGGTTTACATTTAACCTCATATTTAAATTTTCTTTAACTAAGAAAAAATGATTATATCGCCTCAAACTTATATGATTCATACCAGTCGTGCCATATCTTACGTAATTGGATCTTTATATCATCACAACCAAATATATAATCAATACTTTGAAATGAAAGTTCGAATAAAATCTTTGGATTCAAAGAAAATGTTGAAGCAGCAATTACATATTCATTGGAAAGATCCGAAAAGAAAACGCCTATTATAATACAAAATCATCGTTACAGGAAAAAGATTAACAAATTTTTAAACGATCGCAAAATTTCAGAAAGTTTTAAATATTACCTTTATCATCAGTCTTGTAGACAATTATAGGTAAAAAAAAAAAAAAAAAAAAAAAAAAAAAAAACAATTTGATTTAAAAAGAAAAGATGATTTTTTATAAAAAAAAAAAAAAAAAAAAGTGTCAACGCATTACTTACACAAATACAACATGGATAATTCAATAATAAAAAATCTCGAATATGATGCTCTTGATAATTTTTAACCGTATTGCATAGCAAATTTGAAGTCATACAAATTTCTATTGGAATATATTTTGCATAGATAAAATCCCTTGACTCTGGGTCAAGATGTGTAGCATGACCAAGGCGATCGGGAGGAATCGTAAGCATCGAAGCATGTTCTGGTATGTTTGCTTCAACCTTTGTTTTTAACGTAAATTTAAGTGGTTATCGAAACTAAAAGATCACAAGTTTTGATATTATTCACCTCGCCAAAGTGTAATGTAACTTTCAATCCGTGTTCCTTCGCTTTTATGAAAGCGGGTTTGACATTGTCTATATGCCCTTTCTGTTATCCAATGAAAGACAATTCTTGAGAAAAATAAAACGCATTGAATTGAGAATCGTTTCTTTAAAAGATGACTTACACTAGTATCACCACAAAGATCGACACCTACAATACCTCTATTCTTATATCTGATAGCCAAATTCACAGTTTCCATAGCTTCCTCCAAAGTATTTCGACGATCTACACTAAGTATTAACTTAACAATAATTCCATGTTCTGAATATGAAAATTTCTGAATGACAGACGTTACGGCGCATACGTATGATTCTTTGGTCATCCCTTTATTAAATCACGCGTTTTGATTAGAACGGTGAATCACGTGAATTAAATGGTTCATAGTGGTATTTACCATTTTTATCATTTCGAGGCGTTGTCCTTAATTCCAGATATTTAACTCCATCTTTTCTAAAGTCATGTATTACAGATTCAGTAATATAACCAATTGATTCTTCATCATCAGTTAGTTGGTAAATGAAATTGAAAATAGGAAAAAAACTATTGGAAAAAGAGAGGTTTTCTTTAAAATAAAAAAAAATAATAATAAGTTTTGCACCAAATATCGTACTCATCAATAACATCTAATTTTCTTTTCGGTATTATAAATTGTGCCAAATGAGGTTTCTTTTCTTTCTTTCGTTCTACTAACTGTTGAAGTGTTTCCGGACTTATTGAGCCATTAATATGTGCATGAACTTCCTATATATTGAGAATTGTGTCAATATGGTTTCAATTTTTTTCGACATAATTAATACATATATATATATATATATATACAATTTTTGGCATATCTTTACAATATTTTTCTAAATTTTCGAGACTTCCATATTGAGATAAAATACTTGTAGTTTCTACCATTATCAAAATATTTTTAATGCGAAATCGTTGTGAGCTTGCGTCTTATATAAGCGCAATTATGTGATTATCAAGGGATATCCGTATAGTCACAAGTTACAGGAGAAATTGTTAATGTTACGCGGAATTTCGCTATTGTCACATATATCCTTTGGGGAAAATTTTAAATATATTTGAATATTGTGCATTATAAAAATATTACGTAAAAAATAAGTGCATTTAAATTATTTTCCGTCATTTTTAATAAACAGACAGTAAATACAGGAAATTAAAAATGTTAAGAATAAAAATGATTGTTTAGAGATTTACTAAATAAAGTTATTATCATACAACTACGAAAATTGGGCGAGAATTAGTATTCGCAATGTTTGATATTCCGAAATGACTTCTTTGGTCAAATTGAGTCTCATTTTTGCGTCGAATAAATAAAATAACAAGCCACCAATACAAGCGAAACTCAAATAACAATGTCTTTCGTCATCACCGTGGTTAGGGAAACATGGATGGAGGCAACACTTTGCTAGGTTTTAAACTGGAAGTATGGAAGCAATCTTGTGAGTGGTTCATTTTTATTGTTTTTATGTCATAGATTCATTCATATGTTCAGTGATTCAATTACAGGGAGATAAAAATCTAAACCATTCTTGCCCGTATTGTTCAAAGACATTAAGCAACGGGTCCCTTTTAATAAAGCATATGGAAGATGACCATTTACATAAGAAACGAATTCAAAGTAAAGAGTGCAGCAGAAGATTAGTATTCTCAACGAAATATCAGCATGTAAAAAAAAATCATTTATATAAGGCCAAATAGGTTGATTGTTTTGATAGAAATTGTACGTTACTTGCGATGTATTTTGTTCTAATTCTAACTCCGGTTTTATATGGTTATAATAAAAAATAATTTTGCTTTAAAATATTATAACTTCAAACTCCTTAAGATTTTCGAATTAGATATTTTTTGTTCCCTAACGAAAAAAGAACACGTGTGATTGCGTCCCATTCAAGTCTTTCACCACAACGCCATAATAATGACAAACCACCATTTAAATATTTTTCATAAACCACCTTTTTTAGTTGCAATTTGTTTGGCATCTTCAAGAGTAAAGTTTGCATTGCGGTCCTACTGTACCATACATCATAAGAAAATTAAATGGAAAATTTCAGAAAGTAAATTTCAAATAATTTTCAAGTAACGCATCATTCAATAAACAATGTCGTTCGTCATAGCAAATAAATTAAAGTCATAGTTAATGTTAGATATTTCGATCAATTCAAAAAATTTTCATTATATCATTCCAAAGACTGCTAAATCAATTGTATAATGAACATTTTAATAATTGATTTCTTGAATTCAAAAATTCTTTGAAAGATTTTTTTTTTGTAATATGACATTCCATTTAACAATGTTTTACGAATTATTTACTAAAATAAATAAATAAATTCATTCATTTAAAGGATTAACACTTACTATATAGTCGGCCTTAACTTAGTTCGATTTTCTGATTCTAATCGTCGAATTCAAGCGGCGTTTCTTAAGCAGGGCAATATGGAGAAAAGTCTTTTTTCTTCCAAGAACAATAGGAAATTATCGGTAGTTTAACGGGTTTTTATATTAAACATATATAAATGCGGGAAATAATGGTACCGGGAGGGTATATCTAAAAAAAAAAAAAGAATTATGAAGAGTACGAATGACTTCTTTTGTAACAAGAGTGATGCAATGGAAAATATATATTGCATCATCGTTGAACCTTTAAGTTGAAAATTTCTTTTGTAAATCGATCGTTTAGCTGTGCTGATTCATAATGTATTATCTGTTAACCAAAAAAAAGAATTATTTAGAATAATGAATAAATTGATTTCAGATATTTTATTGCATTATCGTGTCTTTTCTAACAGTTGAATGATTTATGATGTATTAATCGGACCTAGAAAAAGTTTGCCTTCGTTTTCTGATTCATTTATCTGAAGAATCATGGAGCGACCTTGTAAATTACCTTGTAAAATAAAGAACTGTTTAAGTGCACAATTAATTTTTCTCATAGATAAATAAAAAATATATATATATATATATATCATTAATTCATTTATCTCGTATATAACCTAATCAGCTATTTTAGAAACATATATACATATATCGGTATATATAGAGGGAAACCAATGATTTAAATTAACTAATTGTTACTACTAATATAAAGAAAAAGAGATATTTTATAACAACTGAATAATTAGAAATTAAACAATTGAGTGAAAAAAAAAATGGTGAATTAATTAATCAAATTAATCCACTCGTAATATAAAAAGGAAATCATAAATATATATTCTCCTTTGTCATTTCGACAACTTTTTATTTATATCGGTGATTTTAGATCATTAACTATGGTAGTAAACGATTAATTTGATAACAGTCAAGAAAAAAAAATCAAAAAAATGAATTTCATTAATGGAAGCAATAAACACATGTTATGCACTCTTTTCGTTTCTATATTCCTCATTTACAAATCCTCTATATAAAAAAGTATGTGACATATAATTCTCAAGATTATCTCTACAGATTATGATCAAGTTGGAGTATACTGCAAGTGCTTTCTCACGATCAATCTTACTAATATTACGATTAGTAAAAAGGATAAATCCTATTGATTCAAAAATTCTAGCATTATTGAATTTCTCCATTGCATTATTATACCATTTGATCACTTCTGATGAAAATATTTTGCCATTCATTTTTAGCGTGAAGTGCTTTGTTTGCTTTAATAATCCAATATATTTGGATCCTGACCTACGGCTGGAATGAGAATTAATCGCAGGATTTCTAGTATGATAAAGAAAGATCATAGACGACAAAATATAATAGTTATACGAATGTATTCCTGTCTAATCCACCATCCCAGTTCTTGGAACGCATTGAACAGCTCTTATTCAACTGACATTTGTTCACATGGCTCAATTTTCCATTTCAAAACATTTGCATTCATGTATGTATGAGAAAATTGCTCTTTAATTGTAGTACCGCTTCCAGTCCTTAAAGTCTTCAAATACGCTTCCAATCTCTCAAAATCCTGCCAGATCCACCTTTGACAAGGAAATATAAGGAGATCAAAAGGTAATAATGCAACTTCGTTATTTAATTTTCATAAAAGGATATACGGCATTGTTATAACAAATTGATCGTTTGACAATAGACAATAATGAAAAATTCCATGGTGATTAAGGTTAATATAAGTTACTTCAGTTTCTGAAAGTTGAGTACCATAATAAATTAATGTTCCAGTAATGATGCATCTTATAAGCTCCTTTAGAGCTGATTTTAGAAGAATTATTATATTCTGTTGTCCTATAAATGAAGATATTCATTAGACATTGAAAAGCTTTAATAGTAAAGTAAAAGAGTACTACCTTGTGAAGTAACAATACTATAACACTCCGAAACTCTATTGACCATCTGCGATTCTAAACTATCAACATCTCATTCTTCTAAAGGTTTCGTAAAATCGTTCATATGTCACAAATCCATGAGTAATCGAGCAACTCTACCAATATCGAATATCAAAATACAAAGTTTGAAAGGAGATTGCTTCAAGACTTCCTTTGAAATTCTCAACACACAGATAGAAGCATCAAATGATAATGGTGGTGTTGACAGAACTTTTACAGAATGCTGACTTTCAATAATTGTCTTTTTAACATTTCCACCAAAGATACCAGATAAAATAGGAACAAGAACAACATCCTGCTCAGCAGCAATACTTGTTCCAATAGACGAATGGTTATAATTACCAAGTTGCTTAATAACATTGAGCTAGGATTAGATAATTGCTCCATTTCGATTTGGTAGTCATCTTTTCAGACCACAACGCATAACGTTCCCTCAATGCACTTCTATTTTCAATAATGATTAATAATCAAAGTAAGCACCTCAGAAACATTGTCAAAAACTTTTAATAACTCTTCACTATAGTTGCATAATATCGTTTTAATAATGCAGATAGTTTTAATTTTCTTCTGCCAAAGTATACAGTAGCTAGAAATAATCTGAGCCATTGATCATCTTTGCACATATTTTGGTCAAATGAGTGAAATTTATTATTCAAATCTAAGACAAGAACATTTTTATACTCTTTGATCATTTTCATACAAAATTGAGTTACCAACTCAGTTTTCCCAATTCCACACCCACCAAAACATAAACCAAAATAAGTATCCTGAAATTGATTCAATATTTGTCCTTCATGGTTTTTAATGAAAATTTCAAATGCAGTATTCAATCCATCATCACGATGCACAAACTTTGTTATTGAACTTTTTTTTTTGACTAAGTTAACTTTGTCTAGAATAAAATCTTGTAATATCTGACTCAATTCTAACTTGCGTTTTTTACCTGAATTGAAAAGAAAGAGGAAAGCATTGACTAGTTAATATAGAAAATAGCATAATATCAGTCAATGGAAATGTCATCCCAAATTTGTAGGAGTTTTTTGTTCTATGATATCATAATGCAAATTTTTAACATAGCATTGTCTTAAAGTATATAATACACATATAAATCTAAAATTAGCAAAAATTAATTCAATTAGTTAAAAATAGTGATCTTTTAAATCTTAATTTTGATCAAAATTATAATGCTGACCCAAATTTCGTTAAAATTGAAAATTTCAGGTCAAAGGTAACACTAAATTTACATAATGTAATACCTTTTTACGAAATAAGTAAAGTGAAAATACATATTTGAAATATTATGATACAAGTATCTTTTGACGCAAATTTTAATTGCAACCTATTTAATTAGGAGTCCAAAGTTAGAGTATTTTAACAATATCGAATATTGACAGTTCTATACCGCTTCAAGAATTTGACTTAAAATATGCTAGTGAGGACAACTCAATGGATAGTGATAATGAAGTATTTGAACTGGACAATAATTTTGACTAATATATCGTTAGGTTTAGTAATGCATTAAGCAAAATGCTAGCTCATGAAAATGATAATGACATAGAAATAGAAGCATATATAGGCAAATATGATAGTAATATTGAGGCAGAATTAGAACAAGACAATAGCGAACAAAATTTTGATAATGAGCAAGAAGAAAAAGATGAAATAATACCAAATGATGAAAAAACTAACAATGTACTTTCGCCTTGTGTAATTATTGATAATATTCATGATACAATTAAACGATATGGTGATACTTACAAATTTAGAAAAATGCGAAATTTATTTTGAACATGGCAAATAAATTGAGATGCAGTTCAACAAGTCAATAATGATCATTTAAAATTGGGGGTTTGTGATTTGCATTTTTTGTATAATCAAAATCAAATTCACAATTCCAAAGAAATATTACTTAAAGAATTTACAGATACAATAGTCTAACATTGAAGGTGTATAGGATGTAAAAAATATGTATCTTTCTTTAATCAAGGGGAAGGATGTAGTAGCCATTCTTGGTTGATTAATGGGCAAAATATCCAAGTACCTTATAATGGGGTGATATATTGTAATGCATTGAGGAATTCTTTTATATCAAAGCCTGCTTTTAACAAAATAAAGAAACCAAGATTTATTTGTTGCGCCTGCTATAAACAATTAGGTGGATATATTCATAAACGTACTGGTCAGGATAAAAAATCAAACTGTATTCAGGATAAATTACATGAAAAAGATATTACAAAAGGAATTAAAATAATTTCAAATTGGCTTATTAAGATTTTCCATATAGACGAAAAGACAAAAAAAGAAGAAATTTTGAAATCTATTGTTAAAGCTATTCTCCCTTTTATTCCCACACCTTCAACTAAAAATATATCATACACTATAACTACGTCAATTACAATCACAACTACATCAACTATAACTACAACAACTATAATTACATCATCAACTTTAAACCACCCAGATAAAACTCCCAGCCTTTTTATCATTCAAATTCTCTTTCTTAATACATCCATTAGCAATGATGATACAGAAACAATTGACTATGAAAGGTTTGGATGAGAATTCAGAATTAAACTCTGGAAATCACGCAAAGCAATAAATAAGAAAAAAGATTCATTAAACTCACCAAAATCACTTTTAGAATATTACAATACATTTCCAGATTTCGTTACAGAGTTTTTTCAAGGTTTGTTGGTAGAAATCTTCAAACAAAAACTTGTTATTAGTAATAAAAAAAGAAAGCATCAGGGACAAAATACAAAAATTTTACCTGAAAATACAATCATAAAAATAGTTACTTTTTTCGTTTCAGTTCTTGTTGGTATAGCTTTTCCTTCATGTGAAATTTGGTTGACTAATGTGCTGAGCAGTTTGGTATGCAAACCAAAATTGTTATCATCACTTTATCACCATTTTACCGTATGGAATGTAATTGGATACAGTGAACGTTATGAACGAAATCTAGAAAGAGAACGTATTAATAAAGTTATTCCCACACAAAGGTTATACCAAGAATTAAATATATAGAACTTTGCAATCATAGATAACATAGATTTTAAACAAAAAACATTCTCTTTTGGAAATATATATGATACTACTCAAGATACTTCACATGCAACCTTAAGAATGGTATTTCAGTCAAAGATTCCTGATCATCTAGTATTACGTCAGGAAGAAGTAATTGCCTTAAACGAAGCTACCTATATATTTGGTATGAACTTTACCACGAAAGAAGCTCTGAATAGATTTCAAGATATATTAGAGAAATTGTTAGATATCCGAAAAACAAATGAGGGAAATATAGAATATAATCAAAATTTTGATGCAGAAATAATCAAAAAGGAAATATTAGCAGAATTTGAATATGGTTGTCAAGGTCCTTCTTCTCACATCGTAATTCTTGAGCCAGCTAATAACCCAAACTCAGATCAAGCAATTTTAGAAGCTGCTAATATGTACAAAGCTGATTTTAATTTACAAGAAGATAGATACCTTAATATCGTTGCTGATAAGGCAATTTTTCGTCAGTTAATAAGATATTAAGCACAATGGCCCCAATTAAGACCATTGTTTAAACAGTGGCATACTTCGAAGAATTTCTGCTCAGTTCTAATTGTACTATTCTCCAGCTATGGCTTTTGAATTTAGCAAGACGATTAGGTATTCGATTTCTGAATAAGTTTGAGACAGCTATTGATTATCAAATAACATCTAGAGTTTTAGACCTTTTGTGATTGGCAGTTAGAGTTGCAGTTAATATATTTATAAAGAAAAAAAATATTCTTTTGTCTGAGGTAATAGACGAAAATAATAACACAAATATTTTGTTAAAAGTTTGGTACCTTTTATTATCAGTGAGCTGGTATTTGAAAGGCACATCGAATAGGAATGAGAATCAGAAATCATAATTTGCAACGGGATGCTCTTGCTGCAGCTTTACCTCTTTTTCCAAGTGTTGATAAATTCAAGTATGCATTAGCAATTGCTCAGCATCTCTCTACTTTGACCAAGTATCCAAAATTAAATGAAATTTTGCAATATGTTGGGGCGTTCAGAATACCAAAGAACACTGATGATAAAAATGAAGACCAAAAGCCTATTTGTTTTAGTTTTGACAAAGCTCTCGAAACGTTTGGAGTTCACTTTATAAAACAAAATATCACTGGAAATGTTATTGATAAAACAAAATTAAAGGTGAGTATTAAAGCAGCCCAATTAGAAAGGGATAGAATTGACCTACTATTAAGTAAATATCTTGAGAATACTTCAATTTCTCATAGTGAACGTGCCATTGATTCTAGAATGGAAGTATTATGGAAGTTAATTGAAGATTTGTTTATGATTTTTGACATGACAGATCTATTATCTTATGAGATTTTTAAAGATCTTGAACCACCTGAATTACACAAAGAGGAATATGAAAAATTGGTCGCTTATTATAAAAATAGTTTAGAACGAATGCAAGTAATTTATAAACAAAATGTAATAAAAATTAAACCTTGAAATGCACAAGGAAGACATGCGTTAGAAATTTGCAGAACAAAGCACAAAGACTATGCCAATAAAAAGAGATTTGAAAAGGAGATAAAGCGAAAGTAAGCAATATCTCAACCAGAGGTATGTGCAATGCCTAATTGTGGTATTGTAGTCTTAACTTGTGCCTAATCTGTCTATGCTATTTTAGCTACAAGTTGGTAACTAAGCGTCCAAAAAATAAAGAAAAATACTTTCGCATGAAGAATAAATACTGGGCCATCTGTTGGATTATAAAGAAAAGATTCCAACGTATGTATATGATGAAATTCTTCAACTACTTAGAACTGAATGGGATAAGAAAAGGGTTTATGGTTGGTGGAATTATCATGTTAATAAAGAATAATTAATTTACTGTATTATAATTGCAAGTTACAAATAAAGTAATTAAATATGTTATTTATATAAAACTGAAATTTGAAATTTTTACAAAAACTGTTGTCTAAACTGCTAATTCTTGCTTATGTTTTGTGGAAAATAGCTATAAAACGCGTATATTTGAGTGGTATTTGTAAACTTTCAAGTGTGTTTATTAGTTCAATCAGTAATATAAAAGTGAAAAAGTAGGTAAAGTTATGTTACTAGTATTTTTTTATACAAACACTGGAGTGTTCAAAAAAATATAAAAATATGTGGTATAACACATAAAGTATCAACGGGAAAAGTTTAAAAATTTTTTAATGTATAGTTAAATTTTAGCTTCGATATTAACTTCACATCATTATCATTATACAAACTAAATTTACTAATAATCGACAACTCAAGTGACATTTTCACTGACTGATATATAGTTTCTTTCTGAGAACGCATGTGATTGTATACAAATTTGAAAATATTTTTTTATGCATCAGAGATAAGCTAGAGCAATAGCACAAATCTGAAATACCAAAATGTCTGCACAAAACTGAAGATTAAGATATGATACAATGCAAACGGAATAAAGGTAAAGTTTAAGCTTAATCCATTCCTTGCGTTGACTAATTTTATTGTGACACTCACCATCATTAAGTTGTTCTGAAGTTATTTGAAAAGCACAAGTTAGTATTCAGTATTACTAACAAAATGGTTGAGTAAAAAAAATATTACTGTCGAATAACACGCACGTTAAACTATTTTATGATAGAACTATACTTTGATTGTTCACACCCTTGATAAACTCTGCAAGGTTTGAGGTCAGTCCTCTTCTTAAACCATCTTGCAAAAGATTATCTTCAGTATACTTAAGGAATGCTCTACCGTTAATACTATTCTTCTCAAATTTTCCAATTTCAGCGTCATTAAGAGAAAAATCATTTTTCTTGGATTCTAAAAAATTTCTAACATTCGCTACGCTCCAGCCTTTAGCTGTATCAAATGACAGAATTTTTGTAGAAGTGGACATTGATAAAGAAATATAGTGGAAAACAAATTTATCAATAAGCAAAAATGGTGGTCAAGTTTTAGCATCATATACACTACTACCTCAAATGTTTAAGACCACCCAATTATACAATATATAAATTACTAATGTTTTATTTAATAAATTTTAAGCTTAGAAAAATTTTTTTAATTAAAATAGTTATAATAAAATTAATATTAGATTTAGATTCTTCCTATCAAGAAGATATTTTTATTATAATTGAATCACATCATACTTATATATGTAAAATAATTTTAATAACAAAACTTTTGAGTAGGTAGTGTATAAGCCAATCAAATTTTAGAAATTTACAATGGAAAATTCTAGAACTCATTTCCTTATTTGGAATATTCCCTGACAGAAATACTTAATCCATGTTCCATGTCAAATGACGGATTCATTTTTGATTGGTTACCTAAGCCCGGGGTCTAGGTTAAGGATGCTCGAAAACACATAAATTTAAACAAAAAAATCTGGTGTTTCCAAAAGCTTGTTTTTTATGTTGTCAAATTCAACCTGACGATGTCAGTCGACAACGTTGTTAAGGTAATAACCATATGAAATAGAAAGATATTTTTGATTTTAAAAGTTAATAATTCATTTTAATACTCTTAAAGGTTGCAAACATTTCTTCTCTTGTAACTGAACCGGTATTGAAGCAATTGTTCGAATTCTTGGGTGAGGTTACAACAATTAAATTATACAATAGGTAATAAATAAATACTTAATTAAAACAAAAAAAAATATAAAAATTATTCAATTTGCTGACAACTCGTTTTGTTTTAGTCCTCACGGTGATGGTGTACAAGAATGCACGATAGAATTCAAAGAGGCATCATCTGCCGTAACGGCTCTCCACCTAACCGGTGTAGAATTAGGTGATCGCACTTTGATGGTTTCATCAACTACGGCGCCTGCCGGCATACATAGTAATACTTCGTATCAACCACCAGTTGTACCTCCTTCGTTGCCCCAAATACATCCTTCTTCTATATCTCCTATTAGACCACCACAAACTTCAAAAACTCCACAATCTATTCCTCCTAAACCTATGATCCCTCCTCTAGCTCTTCCTCCTTTTCCGTCTAATTCTCTTGTAGCGATTAGGTCTAACCCAGCTATTTCACCAACCGTTGCTCAATTCGATCCTGCTAAAGCTGAAGAGATTTCTAGAACCGTTTATATTGGTAATATCAACTCTTCGATTTCTGAGCCTGAATTGACACAGTTTTTCTCTGCTTGTGGTCCGGTTGCGTACGTAAAGATGGCAGGTGATCCAGCTCAGCCAACTCGGTTTGCATTTTTGGAATTCGCCACCTACGAAGGTGCACAAGCGGCCATGCAAATGAATGGAGTTATGCTTGGAGATCGTCCTTTAAAGTATGTTTTCATTTGCGTGTATATTCTTTTAAATTTTAATTACTTAAATCGCAAATTTTTAAATACGATTTTTTTTTATTTAGGGTAAATCATTCAAAAAATGCCATCAACAAGACACCAAAAAAGACAGATGCTCCGGATGTACAAGCAACTATGCGTCGTGTCAGGGAGGCTCAATTAAGAATTGCAAATCGATTAAATACTGATGGCACTACTCCCGATAATGAATCTCCTTCAGCATCTGTACAACAGGATATAGAAATGCGAGATGCGACTTCACCTACTAAAGAAGCCATATCTGCTCGTAGCCGTTCTAGATCTATCAGACGTAGTAAGTCTAGGTCACGAACAAGAAGTAGAAGTAGAATTAGAAGGAGAAGAAGTAGATCAAGATCCAGAGGTAAGTATTTAATTGTCAATTTATTATTATCAATGATGTGAATATTAACTCTCGTATAATAAATAGATTTTTATTTTCGACGACGAAGAACTCCAAGTCGTTCTAGAAATCGTGACAGAGGTTTGGATTAGATGATTTTGTTGTTTTAATATTCATTCGGTATATATTAATGATTTTTTTTTCTAGTAGGCGATCGATACAGGGAAAGAGATCGTGAAAGGGATAGAGAGAGAGATCGTGAAAGAGATAGAGAAAGAGATCGTGAACGTGAAAGAGAGCGAGACATTAGGGAAAGAGAGAGAGAGAGAGAGAGAGAACGTGATAGAGAACGTGACCGGGAACGTGACCGAGATAGGGATAGAGGTAGAGACCGGGACCGTGACCGTGATAGAGGAGATAGGGATAGGGATAGGGATAGAGATAGAGATAGAGATAGAATTACTGAAAGAGATCGGGATCGAGATCGGGATAGGGATAGGGATCGAGATAGAGATAGGGATAGGGATCGAGATAGAGATAGAGATAGGGATAATAAGGATAGTAGGGATAATAAGGATAGGGATAGGGTTCGTGATAGAGATAGGGAGAGAGACAAAGACAGAGAACGAGAACGAGATAAGGATAAAGACAAAGAAAAAGAGCGTGAAAAGGATAGAGATAAAGATAAAGAACGAGAAAGGGAAAGAGATATAAAAGAGAAAGATCGCGATAAAGAAAGAGACAAAGAAAAAGATCGCGACAAAGAAAGTAATAAAGAGAAGGACCGCGAAAAGGAAAGTAATAAAGAAAAAGATCGTGATAGAGAAAATATTAAAGAAAAGGATCGTGACAAGGAAAGAGACAAAGATCGTGATAGAGAAAAAGACAAAGAAAGAGATCGTGACAGAGAAGTTAATAAAGAAAGGGATCGTGACAAGGAAAGAGACAAAGATCGTGATAGAGAAAAGGAAAAAGAAAGAGATCGTGACCGAGAAAGCAACAAAGAAAAGGATCGCGACAAGGAAAGAGAGAAAGATCGTGATAGAGAAAAGGATAAAGAAAGAGATCGTGATCGAGAAATTAACAAAGAAAAGGATCGCGACAAGGAAAGAGAAAAGGACCGTGATAGAGAAAAGGATAAAGAAAGAGATCGTGATAGGGATAAAGATAGGGAACGAGATATAAAAGAAAAAGACCGAGAAATAAAAGAAAAAGACCGGGATAAAGAAAAAGAACGAGACAAAGAAAAAGAAAAAGAAAGAGATCGAGACAAAGAAAAGGAAAAAGGAGATCGAGACAAAGAAAAAGATAAAGAAAGAGATCGTGATCGGGATAGGGAACGGGATATAAAAGAAAAGGATCGGGAGAAAGAGAAGGATAGGGATAAAGAAAAAGAACGAGACAAAGATAGGGATAAGGAGAGAGACAGAGATAGGGAGAAGGAGAGAGATAGAGATAGGGATAGAGAGAAGGAGAGAGACAGAGACAGGGATAGGGATAAGGAGAGAAACAGAGATAGGGATAAGGAGAGAGACAGAGATAGAGAAAGGGATCGAGATCGGGATAAAGATAGAGACAGAGATAAAGATAGAGAGAGAGATAAAGAGAGGGATAGAGATAAGGAAAGGGAAAGAGATAGAGAAAGAGATAAAGAAAAGGAAAGAGAAAGGGATCGTCGATCGAGAAGATAGGTTAACACATGTTTTATTACAAAAATGTTGGGTGAGCAAAGAAATCAAAGAAATATTACTTTACCTTTTTCTCATGTAAATGAAATTTTAAACTGAATAAATTTTGTCAAAACCAGAGGTCACGTGACTCGTTTTAAAAATTATAAATAAGCGGATCCATTGTTACAGCAAGTTTTTGAGTTCAGAATGTCCGATATGGTACCATTCTCATTATTACGAAATCCCATTTCATTTGTCTCTTCAAAATCTTTGCAAACTGAATCGAGCGCTCAGTCGGAGGAGGAAGATAGGAAAAAATTATCGGAAAATATAACAAAATTTTATCAAAGTGTAATTTCACTTCCAACGAAAAAGGTACGAAAAGGTAAAATAAAAACTCGAAAGAGACGACAAGGAATATTAAACAAGAAAAGTATCACAAATAATATAAGTTTGGAGGATTGTTTTTCACAATTAAATCAAGAGAGTTCTTCCGATAGCTTAGAAAGGTTACTAGAATATAATGACGAGGACGATGTAATTAAACACGACAAGAACGACAAAAAAAAGAACGTTGAAGTTAGTGATTCTACAACGGTAGAAAATGATGATAAAATATGGTGTGGAGATTGTGGGATTTGGGTTGAAAAAAATTTATATCAAAGTCATATTCACGGTACAGCGCACCTTGTTATATCAAAAAGCTTAAATGATCAATCCATACCTGATCCATTGGCATTAAATGAGGTAAGTTTTATATTTTTATTGTAAGATTTTTCTTTAAAAATTTATTAATTAAAAATAATAAAAAAATTTAATTCTTTCTAGACTAATGTAGGATTTAGAATGTTACGTGATCAGGGATGGAGTTATGAAAAAGGACTTGGCGTAAATGAACAAGGTAGAAGACATCCAATACCAACAAGACTAAAAAATGATAAATTAGGTATTGGTGTAAAAAAAACCAATCAGCCTCCGAAGGTACTCATTTATGTTTCGCAATTAAATTTATTAATTCTTTTAATATTAAATTTACTGCTTTAATTTAGATAAGATTAAAGAGACTGAATGCAAAACAAACAGCTGAGCAATATGAAAAAGATCGTAAAGATAAGATTAGAATGCTTGCTTATATGAACAGATGATCTAAATAATTCTAATAAGAAAAGTTGAACAATTTTTTATTTTCATTACTAACGTGTATTAATAAATTTACATCAGTTCTAAATTTTGTTATTCAGATTAATTTCAGAATTTTATTAAGTCATATAATGTAAGTGCAAATATTGTCAAACGAAGGCAAAAGAACAACTGAATATGACAGTACTGTTTGATATAATAAGGACAAATTCTTAAAACGATCTTTGATTCCCCCTCTTCAAATCATTGCAGCTATTTTACTTTGTTGCATTCCAAGTCCAAGTTCACGCTCTCTACTTTTCTAGTAGAGATTATTCCAAGTTCAATAAACTGTATAGTAAAGTATATATCTCTTGGTCTTCACATATATTGTGATTGATACATCCAATCAGTATTAATTAAAAAAACGGCATACAGAAATCACGTATATATGACTTTCAATTTGTGATTATTTTATTAAAACAAGAAAATCATATTATATTATTCATGAAACATATCGCGCTAAAAAATTATAAAAAACACAATGTAAGAACATCACACGGTACATGTTTATTTATATATAATTAAATATATAGAACCAACCTTGATACTCAGCGAGAATTTTAGCAGATGATTTGGCATCATAAAACAATTCATCCACTTCTTTAAGATCTTCCAATGTGATAAGTTCTCGTCCATTTGTTCGTGAAAGTATACTTGCAGGAGTGAGTAATTGAATAACATATCTACAAATACGAACAAATTAAAATCAAAACTCATTATTTTTAAACAATAGACTTTGTCGTAATTATTACCTCAAAGATGTTTTGACCCCAGATTCAGCCATGTAGTTCAAGGCATCGTCGGACAAATCTAACCCTTCCGTTCTTGCACGAATTTGAACAATTGATCTGATATCATCCAAATTGTAAGGTAATGTTCGAATGATCAAAATTCGATCAATCAAATCAACTGGGATGCCATGAGGTGCAATAATATCATCTGTTCCTCTATCAAAATATTAGAAAATAAGTTCGGAGGTTTTTTTTAAAAAAATAAAATTAAAAATAAAATAAAAATAAAAATAATCTATTACCTGACTTGACACATTCCACGGTTTGTAGCGAAAATCACTATAGGCGATATGGCGGATTCCAACGCCTTATTTAGATATGTAAAGCATTCAATGTCTAACAAGTGTACCTAAAAACGATTTAAAATATTAAATGAACTATTCAATAAAGGATACTACCAACATCAAAATGTAAATATCAACCTCATCTATGAACAGAACGCCTGGAACTAGCTCGGCAATTCCCTGATCTATATATTTATTGACCACCTTATTGATCTCTTTTCTTAACTTATCTGTGATTTCAGTCTTTTTTGGTTTCAATAATTGACCCATCATTGACATAATATCTTGCCCACCCTACAAATATTATACATATATTAACATCAATTTGGTTTAAAATATAAAGTGTACACTAAGGTGTACCTGAGGCCGAGCATTTGCGATATCCAAGTCATTCAATGTAACATCCTGAACGATTTCTTTCTTTTTATGCACTTCTCCTTTCGGAAGCGGAACGTATTCATCAGCTTCTAAATCGAATTCAGTAGCATAAGCGTCGGATCTGCCAACACGCTAATAGTTGAAACGACTTTATACACTCATTTCTTATTCAAACAAACAAAGGGAGGGATCATTATAAAAAAAAATAAGGGAATTTCATACCTTTACAGCACCAGTATTAGCTTCAATGTAAATAACGTCTCCAACGGTAACCTTTTCTTTTTGAATGCTCTCATAAATACTTGGATCTAATTTCAATGTTTTTACTCCTTTAACTGTTTTTAATCCAATGGTCACGTGTGACAAAGTTTTACCGTAACCACCCAATGGATTTTCTGTTTCTTCGGGTGTAAGTTCCAACACTTCACCTTCATACACTTCTTTAGTTTCTTTAATTCTTAATCCTATTAAAAATAACATAAATCAAAATTGATTCAAGATCATCTGATGATCGAATATTAAAATTACCTATAGCCCTTCGAAAATTCTCCATTAAAACTTCCGTTTTCTTAACTTCTGAAGAATATACTTCACTACCAACCATTGGACAAAATGGAACTTTAGGACCAAGCTCTTGAGCTATGGCGAGGGCTATCGCGGTTTTACCAGTACCTGGAGCGCCAGCTAAAAGTAAAGCGCGGCCGGCCATTTTTTTACTTTTTACCAAGTCCACAATAATACCACATGCCTATAATTAATCATTAATATTTAAATCTAGACGCGTGGTAATTGAAACGAATTTAAGCAAAACTATTAACCTCTCTTGCTGAATTTTGACCAACGAACCCGTCAGCTTGCTGATATGCTCTTCCTTCGTCATTTAAACCAAGCCCCTTAATATGTGTATGAGGTGCAATGCGCTGTTCACGCGTTGTACTTTTTACTTCTGAAATTTTCATTAGGATTCCGTGTTTCAATTTCGAAAATGAACTTATTAAGTCGATTTTTTTCTAGTGCGAATTTTATTATATTATTAAATTTTTCTATAATAGCGGATTTCTATGATTGGCTAGTTATTTATTTCAATATTATTGGTCAATTTAAATCAATTGTATTTGGAATAATTCCCAAGATCGACAATCTATCCATATTTAATAAATAAATTATATAACTTTTTTTTATAAACGTATAGAGAGAATATCACAAAATTTAGAATTAATATATACTTTTAAATTCAAAAGAAAAAAATCTTATCTCTTAAACTGTAAATATAAAATTATTTTAAAATATTTTAGAAAACTTAAAATATTTTGATATCTAATGATTATAAAAAAATAAAATAAAATTTTTAGATTTATCATATTATAATATATTTAATAGTAGTATTTTTAAACTTTTAATTATCAATATATAGGGATATTAAGATCTGTAATCAGACTGGACTGACTCTGATTTGATCATAGAACTAGTTTCAGTTCGATTTGAGGATCAAATCAAATTAAAACTGAACTGAATCAAACTGGTTTTAGATCAATTTGAATGATCAATTTATATAAATGCTGTATTATGTAAATTATAAAACATGTTGATTATTTTAACTAGAATAATTTTCATTTTGCATTATTATTTGTATTGCATAATATCTGGCAGCATAATTTTAAATGAAAATAATGATAATTTCTCAAATATTTCTTTAACTTCTTTAGTAACTGAAGAAGATTCTAATATAACTACTTGCAAGTCAGATCTATGAAAAATTTTTTTAAAGTCCAAGATGAAAAAACTAGACTAATAATAAATTATAAATGCATATTATGTATTAAAATTTATTTACCTAGCAATCCAATAACTATCCTTCAAAAATATTTAACTAAAAAACATTTATTTTATTATAAAAAAACTGAAAATTATTAAATTACTTTAAATGAAATATGCTTTAAACCTTATTCTTTATCATAATCCAACTCCATTATAAATTTATTGATTAATTTTATTGTAACTAATTTACAATCTTTTTCTATTATTGAAAATATTGATTTAAATTATTTATTAATAAGTTAAATTCTCCATTTATTTTATTTCGTAAATAAATTTTAAAAGAAAAATTTGTAAAAAATTATGATATAAAAAGAAATGATTTAATAGTCGAAATTTCATAAATTAATTCAAAAATATCTCTCATAACAGACATATAAACATCAGATCCAAAAGATTGTTATCTTGAAATAATAATTTATTATATTAATAATAATTAGAAATTAAAGAATATTTTGCTTAATATACAATAATTCCTATAAATAGTTTTCATAGAGCTAAATTAATTACAACCAAACGTTTACAATTTTTTGAAGAATTCAATATTAGTCAAAATATTCTTGCTATGACAACAAATAATGGAAGCAATATAATAACATATAATAATTAATTAACAATTAAATTAGATCAAGAATTTAATAATATGTTTTTTATTTATTTTTAATATATAGCTCATATTATTAATTTGATAGTAAAAGTTAGAATGAAGTATGTAAGAAATAAAATCAAAAAACTTTGTTAATTTATTGTTAATAAAAAATTCACTACTATTATTAGATAAATTATTAGAAATTTGTACTATTAGAAAGGTTAAATTTCTAAAGCCAATTTTAGATATAAATATACATTAAAATTTTACATATTTAATGATTGCTAAACAAACTTTAATACAGAATGTTTCTAAATTATTTGTAACAACAAATCCTAAAGATTTTGATAATTTTTTTCAACAATTTCTGAATAAGGTTGTATTAAGATTTTTATTATTTATTATTTTATTATTATAATTAATTAATTATTTATTTATTTATACTTATTATTTATTTTAAGAATTATCATTAATTTTACAATCTATGTATGAAGTAATACAATTATTATTATCATTATTAAATCCTATACAAAATGATATACAATTGATTTTTGTTAAAATGTTTAAAATATTGAATCAATATCAAAAAAATGATTATCATATACAAAAAAAATAGCATCAGCTATTTATAACAAATTAAAAAATATTAGGATAATCATTTAAATTACACTTTTACTATTTCTTCAGTATTAGATTCATATTATAAAATTACATTATTTAAAAATAATGACTTAGTTAGAATTATTAATAATTTACAAAAATTATATAGTATATATTCTTTCTTAAATAATCAAATAAATTTTAAAGAAAATTATCATCTCAGAATTACTTTCTTAATTTACTTAATTAAAATAATTATCAAAGAATAATATGTGATGAATTAGATAGATATCTAAATTCTCTAGTAAATAATGGTGCTAATCCTTTAACTTGGTGAAAAGTTCATGAAAAAGATTATTCTATATTGTTTTAAATGGCTAAAGATTATTTATTAATTCAAGCAAATATCAGTTCTATCAGAAAGAACCTTTCAATTTTAGGTTTAACTATCTCAAAAGTTAGAAACAGGTTAAATTCTGAAACAGCAAGAGCAATTATTTATATAAAGTATTGGATTTCAAAAAAAAAGGATAGTAGAAATTTATAAAAATTGTAAGAAAGTATAAATAAAGTGGAATTATTTCAGGTTAAAAGCTTGATAGAAATAATATTTTAATAATAATAGATTATATAAAAATTTTTTTTTTTTTATATAATTTGATTTTTTTTTTTTGGTTTATTTTATTAAATAAATTTTGGATTGAAAATGTTGTATCACACAATTTTTTTTAGAAAAGAAGAAATATTATACTTTAAATTGCTTTTAGTTTTGTCTAAGATTTTACAATATACTGTATATATAAACTCTAATCTAAATTTTAGTCTAGACTCTAAGCTTCAAATTGGTTTATAAACTAATCCAGTTTAATTTTACCCTTAAACTGATAAAAATTAGACTGAAACTGAATTGGTTAAACCATTAACATTCCTATAAATATATATTAATTTTTCAATTTTTAATTTTTAAAAATAATTTATTATTTAATAATTACAAAAATATAAAATTTAATTTATTGGATTTATCACATTAAGATCTATTAAATAATAGTATTTTTATATTTTTAAGATTAATAAATAGCAAGTTATATAAGTTTAAATTTTAATTTTTTTTTATATTAATATATTATTTATTTATCTTTAAAAAATCACTAATTACATTATTTTTTAATTTTTACTTAGAAAACATTATAAAATTTATTATAAAAGTATTAATTTTTTAATAATATATTTTAAAATATTTAAAAAATAATTAAAATAATTGTAATTAATAAATAAAATTGTCTACAAATTTGTAGGCAAAACAGTTAAAGGGATAAATTAATATATACACATTTTTTTTATTATTGATATTTTAAATTGACTAGTACAATTATCAGATTAAATTTTATTGAGTTTATTGTAAAATGAAATTAATGATCATTTGTAATATAGTTTCTTGATTATGTAATTAGTATAGAAGATTTGTGAAATAATATATAAAATCAAATTGATATTAACTTTATTTAAAGTTAATTAATATAAATAAAGAGTTAAAGATATTCTTAAGATAATGAAAAATATATATAATGATAATAGTTTATTAAAAAATTTATGTTTTATTTTTTATATATACTAAAAGTATTGTATTATAAAATTTTTGGAAAATTTAAATTTAAATATATATCAAGATTTTATGTTTTTATTTTACAATATTAATGATCCCAGCATAACTAAATCTCATAATATAAAGCTTACATCATAACTATTGATAAACCTATAAAAGTTTTATAATATCAAGTATCTTGATTAAATTTATGTTTTGTATAAAATTTTTATTCTATTTTTATTTTTAACAACTCCAGCATAACCTGTCGGACCACTTTTGAATTATAGTATGATAATCAAAAGGTGACGTGAATTATTTAAAATTGAATGTTATAAATATTCGACCTAGTACTTCACCTAGTCGAATTCAAAAGTAATTGATTACTTAATATAATAGTTCCATTTCACTTGATTTCCTGTTTAGCGAAAAAATAATCTTTGTTATCATATCGACATATATCTGTCTAGAAAAGATTTAAAGAAACTCTATTTCATAATATGACCACATGATCAATCGCCAACTGATTCTTCCTGCGATCGGTTCCTCTAGAAGTAAACCCTTTAGGAGCAGTCATAGCATTTGCTGTATGCTTCGGATTCGGCCAATCGGTGTATAAATTACAAAGTGATCAAAATCTTCGTAAATTTCCATCATATCATAAACATCGAGCAATATATTACACCGGTAAAAACTTTAAATTTTTACATCATTATTCATATTAAAAAGGCAATTATTATTAAAATATCATTTACACATGTATATCTAACATATTTATAATTTTCAGTTTTATAAAATTTTATTTCCTTTCATTTTTTTAAAATATAATTTCGATAAATGCCGCAATAATTTGCATGTGATTATTGATTAATCACTGAATTAATCCATTCAACCCCATCGTGATCAAATTTTTAACCAGCTGAGCGAAAGTGAAAAATGAACTAGAATGTCTGCATCATTTTATTTGCTTTTTATTGTAATAAGTGAATTAAGATTTTTACTATCATGTCGTCTCATTGTATTATTAAAAAATTTTGAGCAAAATTACTTTTTATAATAAGGAATATGTATTAGTTTAACTTAAACCTATTGTGCATTATTCTTAAATAGGACTCCTGGTTCACCAGGTACAGCTATTTCAACAGCAATTTTTTCATCATCAGCTGCTTCGTCACATCTAAGAATATCAACTTTATCGTATCCTAAACTTTTTTGTATAAAATCTTTAGCCATGATAAGTGTATCATGCTCATTAAATAATAAAGCTCGATTAAATGCCACCGTTCCAAGTTTATCAACTTTCTTCTTAAATTCTTGTACAAATGGCATTGTCTTTTTATTTTTTAAAATGCCTTTTGCTGCTAAAATTTCTCGAATTTTAACATCATCATATGTTTTATTTTGCTATAAATTGTAATAAAAAAAATATCAAAGATCAATATCGTTTAATACTAGATTACATTACACATTACATACTAACCTCATCATAATTTTGTTTTACGACTTCAAGGGTAAAATCTTGCCACTCTGGGAACCGTGTTGCGACAAATAATTTAAGTGATTTAGGTTTCGAAGGATCAAAATTCTCTCCTTTACCTTTCTTTTTCTTCTTTTGCGATGCTATTTCTAGGTCGCGTACGGATTTGACAATCTTTCTAACATATTCGGTTGCTTCAAGTAATCCCTCATCAATAGGAGCTGATGGTATGGGAAAAGAAGCGTTAACAATAAAACCTTCCTATAATGTACATTCAAATTAGTTATAATAATTAAATTCTTTAATCTAGAAAGATTTAAGATGATGTACTCACTTTTGACAAGATATCTTTCCAAATATATTCGGACCAATGTGGTGCTATTGGTGATAACAGCAAAGCCTGTGTTTCTATCCATCGTAAAATCAAATCTTTATGCATGCCCTCATGAGCAGTGGCTTCACGATACCAATCACGAGCTGTTTGTAACTCATAAAATCCATATTTCAATGCTTCACGATACATGGCACTAAATTTGAAAGGAAATTTATATTAAAAAGGTAATTTCTTTAATGTTGATATTTACATTACAACTTACTCATTATATGCCTTGTCAGTTAGTTGAATTAATTTGTTAATCTCATTCTCAAAAATTTTGTCATGAAAACTATTTGTTGATCCTGTACGAAGGGAATCTCTATTTTTTACTTGTTCCTGCATAAAAGAAAAAAAATTCGTAACTTTTACAATTTTTCATATAAAAAGCTACTATGTTTTTAAACATACCTCACACCATTCTTTCAAGGTAAATAACCTTAAAATGGCTGCATTAGCAGTAGCTTCTTCGAAATTCGCATCTTCGATTGCGTCACCTGCATCAGCAAGTGCTACACGAGTAGCATCAGCACCGTACTTTGCAACGGCATCACCGCCAGTCATAAAATTACCAGTACTTTTACTCATCTTTTCCCTATTCAATTGTAAATGCCCATTTGATCTTATACCTTTTGGCCAGTACTTTTCAGGAAATAAAGCGACATGATTATAAATAAAGAAGGTTAAATGATTAGGAATCAAATCTTTCCCAGACACGCGAAGGTCCAAAGGGTAAAAATATTTGAATTCTCGTTTCAAGGCGTCAAGTTTTTCTTGTGGGATAGAACAAGAAGTTGGGTAAATTCCATCACTGAAAATATAATCCCATACTTCATCCGCCAATTCCGAAGCTTGAATGCCAAGTGGCCCAGGCGTTGAACCATCGAGTGCCCCACCTATAGATATTAACATTTTGTTAAAATAAACTTAACTAATATTGTTTATAATTAATTTGATTATATTAAATACCATGGAGCAAATGAGCCACTGTATAATAAGCCATATATATAGTGGAATCTGACAAACTTTCAACTAAATATTGAGGATCCCAAGGAAGTCTAGAACCTAACCCATAACTCCTAGCACATGCCCATTGATTCAACCAAGCAAGTGTTTGTTCGAATTGATGACGAGTTTCTGAGCAGAAAGTATTTAATTGGCCAAGACATTTTTCCGCTAATTTCTTCCACTCTTCCTCACCATAATCCAAATACCATTGATCACATAAAGCAACAACACATTCATCTCCGGAACGTGACATTACAAGACCTTCAGGTTCGTTATATATGAATCCTTGTTTAGTGGAAACCAATAAATCCTTGATTAATGCTTTGGCATCTTGAACAGGTCGTCCTTTATAATCACCAACTATCATAGTGCCGTTATAAAACCCTTCCTTATACACCATCTCTTTCGCTTCAGTTAATTGTAAGCGATCCTTTTGAGAATTAATCTTTTTTTGCTGACATACACTTGGAGCAGCTAAATCACCATAAGAAGGAGTACGGATAATGGGTATAGGTTCATAATCAGCCCACGAAGGAAGTATTTTGTAATATTCAGGTTTTTTCTTAAGATCCATAAGAGTTATATAATCATCTGGAGAATCTGAAGGAACCGATGTAACAACGCCTGTCCCCTTTGTTGCTAACACATTCTCCATTGGTAGTACATAAACTTGTTTATATTTACTCAACGGAGCGCTAACCTTAGTTCCAATAAAAACCGATCCTTTAACATCGGCTAATTGATCGACTTTACCACGTTCTTCAGAAAATCCTTGAAACGCCATATTACGCGCAGCACGATGAGTACAAATAAATATATCTTTCTCATTAATTTTAAAAAGTCCATAATTTATCTCGATTCCTACGAAACAATTCGTTTGTCCATACCTAAAAAAAAAAAATTTATTTAGATGAATGTTACGAGAAAATTAAAAGCATTTTTAAACTTACATTGTTTCAGGTCTAAGAGTAGCAGCAACGAAATAAATATTTTTTGTTTCCAATTCTGGTTTTGTTCCAAATAGTTTTTCAGCTTCTTTGCTCCATTCAAGAACTTTAAGTTTGATACCAGTATATTCTTGTGGTCCAATTCCTTCACCACTCTGCCGATCGTGATCCATACAAGGCTGACCATCTAAAGGTGAATATATAGTATATCTTTCACCAAATTTAATCTTGTTAAGGGCTTTCAGTTTTCCCATTTGCCACCGAACAAATGAATCATAATAAGGGTTGACATCTGTAGTGACGAAAGAACGACGCCAATCGATTTTAGCGCCAATAGATTTGCAGTCTTTCTAAAACGAGTTTATTTTTTCCAAATATATGTTACGTTAATGAAATATTAAATATCGTCTAAGAAACAATTTCAATCTATTCTTTATAATGATACCCACTATAGCCAAAGGAGGAAAATAATAAATCCAATGATTCGCATCAGCAAATTTTGCAATTTCTTCGTCAGGTACTCCTGAACTTTTCATAATCTGAAATTGATATTTTAGTCCAGTTGATTTTGCCACAACCTTTCCTTTCTTTTGCATAACTTTTATTGATGCTCCAGATGGATCCGCGAAAGTTTGAGATTTTTTCTCATTTAAATCTAAATCTTTAATTCCCTCTTCGATCTCATCTTGCTCCGGAAGTTTAAAAGTTGGACCGAATTGTTCGAGTTCTCTTGATAATTTATCTGCACATGCCTAATCAAAAGAATAATAAATCGTAAACATTTTGTATACGTTTTCAATGTTTCAAATTTTAATGATCCCAGAACTAGAAAGAAGATGTGATTATTCCTTCAAACGTTACTAATTAAATCCTTTATTTAAAAATAAGTTAAAAGTAAATTACCTTTATAGGCATACCAGTACAATGAAAACCTAAAGGAAACAAAGCTCTTTTGCCTCTCATTCTTTCATATCCGATAGCAAATTCAACTTTTGTAATAGTAAAAAGATGCCCCAAATGTAACCTTCCGTTCATATAAGGATATGGAAAAGTTCCCATATACTTTGGAAATCTTTCATGTAAAAGGGTATCATCAGAAATTTCTTGTAAGGTTGGAGCATTAACTTCAAAGACACGCTCATGTTCCCATATCAGTTGAAACTTTTGTTCAATAGACTTTAATGCGTCTCTTTTAACGGTCTTTAATGAGAAAATGCAAATGATTATTAGTACAATTCGGATTCAACAAATTCTTTAAGTAATTTACCTTCTTTGGTTCTTCTACGGCTTTTAGACCAGTTGTGCTCATTTTTTTTTTTTTTGTTAAAATGAGGAAAAAATCGGTAAAATTTTTAATCTGTCCGATCATCATAGGACCGTTTTATTCCATTTGTGACGTAATTGAGAAAACGCGTAGTTGATCATCAAAAATGGATCATAATTCTTGATTTTATGAACATTTATATAACCAACTTTTTTTTTATTTTTCCAATGGAATAAAATTCACGAGTAAAATCTCAAAAAACTTTATTTATTTATTTTTTTTTTTTGATCAAAGTCAAATATAACGTAAACGTCAATCACATGTAGTAAAATCTGATATAGATACTGATATTTTTTGAAAGTAATCATAATTTCTTAAAAAAAATTTTAATCCGTCAATGAATAATCATGAATACATACTCGTAAGTACATACTCATAAGCAAGGTGTCTCCCTAAAAGCTTTAATGCTCGTTTTACCCTCCAATTACGCACCTCCTTTTCACTTACATCGTTAATGTTCTCCATATAATCTCCCTTAGGAATAGCTCCAGCGCTTCCACTTTTTTTCAAATGCTACACGTGACAAACCATCCCGAAAGCCACCAAGTTGCTTTTCGTAGTGTTAGGAGAAATTAGTAAGTGTTGTCTCGATAATGGCAACAGCAAGGTTGCGTGAAACCCCATAAACTGTTTTTTTCCTAAATCGGTGAAACAGATAATTCGAAAGGAATGAATATCACAGTATCTTGACTATTTTCTTTATTTAATCCAGCAAGAATTCCATTGTGAGATGATCAAGAATTGAACGTCCCAAGATTATCCATGAAGATTTTCAACAAGACCATCACATCAAATTGGATCGATTAGATCTGATCAGTCGGATGTAGAGGTTATAATGATATTGTTCTTTTAAACTCAAGTATCCTTGCTTATTATCTGACCTTCATTAATTTGATCATCCATATATTGGTCTCCTCCATAAAAAGGGAAGTCTGTCAGAATTATATTTATATTACTTGTAGCTCAAGGTGGTTGTGAAGTTCATCAGATTGAGTTTGATTTTTCTTTGAAAAAGTTTGGTTTTTTGTATCCCTGAAATAAAATAAATGAGAACGAAAGAAATGCATGCTTACTTTTCAACAAATTTAGTCAATAGGCGCATGTATCAATCGTTCTTTTTAATGTTGATTCCGACTGCGATTCTGTAAGGTTTGTACGAATCTCTAAAAAAAAAAAAAATATTAAAAAACATAAAGTTTATAAAACAATATAAACATCACTTTTAAATGTATTTTACGAAAATCTAAATTTGGTAAATAATTTTTGGAGATCGACAATTTTCATAGGACCCTAAATTTCAAATTGATAAATTACCATTAGAAAGTAAAATATAATGCCCAATAATGTAATTCGCTTATTCCAAATGTAATTGAATGTTTGACTTTACATTGCATTTATTTTCTTTAGCAATGGATTTGAATCTATTGAACGAAATAAAAAAATTTCTGTTGTAAAAATACATTGTATTATATATAGATAGTAATGTTCCGCAGAGAGATCGACTTTTCCGAGATCGACTGAATAAAAAATATTTGACCTGATACATTAAAAACTTATAAAGTTAAAAAAGTGCAATCCGATTATGAAAATTGTAAAATTAACAATATGAAAAAAAAATAGTAAATAAATGTGCGGTTCCCCTGGTATCTAATTTTTCCGAGAGTAATATACGGTATATAAGAACCTGATTTTTCGACAAGGGAAAAAATTATTTCACTTTGAAGAAAACTTTACTATACATTTTTTTATATTTTACATCGGCAGTTATTACTGATTGGATCACCGTAAAACATGATTTTAATATGTGCGACCAGGTCGTACCTTCTAATCATGCGGCGTCCATATTGACGATGATGGCATTACTTATTCGACGTCTCTTTTGGTCAGGGATGTTCAAACTATAAAACAACAACTTTAAACATCACTATCTGGGGATGTACCTATGATTTTAACTTCAGCTTTATGGTGAGAATAAACAGAGATGATCTTTCGGTTTCGTCGAATATCAAAAAAAAACCTTAATAACTACAAATGTAATTACACGATGAAACTTATTCAAAACCTAAAATTACATATAAGGGATCCACACCTGACTCGAATCATGTATTTCCAAATTATTGCAGTGAAGGCAAACACCCGTATGCACCCGGATGGACCATTAATCAAACAGAGACAAATGCATCGATTATTTGACTGGTCATGAAGTTGGATCATATGCTTGCATCCCTTCAGTTCGGTTCAAACAGCTCGTTCAGTCCTGATGGTTATGGTTTTGCTACATATCACATGATTGATTCAGCAAACAAGCTATTCAATTATTGGGAGAGACACCATCGAGGGTTCCATGATGCCCTTAGTGAACTAAGTGTTAAAATGACTCCCGATAATCCGAAAGAATTGATCCCACCGTCGCCGCCGCGGCCTAAAAATAATCAACATATTCAGATATTTCATCATATCTATCAACCTCAAGTGAACATCTCTAACTTCATTTTGAAGATGCATTATACAATAATTTTTTTACTACAAATAAGTCAACATTAGCTAGTTTTACTGTTAATCAAGGGGTGAATTTTGATCAAATACTTGCCAATGACGATGACTTATATAATTCTACGTATAACAATATAGCTGCATCAATAATAAGCGCTACCTTACAAAATTTAAATGTTGAATTATGTGACCCAAAACCTTCATTTTGCGGACAATCTTGTGATTCTGGTCATATTTATTATCCAACAATCGGAAAGGATAATTGTGTAATAACTGCTACAGATGGCCAAATAAATGAACTTAAGTTTCTTCGAGATTCCTTTGATATATTTTCAACTGATAATAAAACTAGTTGGAATATAACCCATAATTCCAATTGTGATATTAATCAATTCCAATGTCAATTATAAGTCAAATGTGAATGCAAATTTTTAATATCGTGGTAATATACAATTAATTAAATAAAAAAATATTTTAAAGATCAGAAAAATAAAATTTTAATAACGTTACTTCAAAAGATATGAAGAAACATGAAAAATAAAATTTACATACATGATACTTAAACAAATTTGATAATATTTTATATTAACAACCTAAAATAAAAATATTTTCAATATTGAAATTTTTTCTTAAATCGTGTACAAATAAATAAAAAAGTAGATTAAAACTTTCATATGGTAAATTATTATACATATTATTTGTATCTTCTTAGTTAATCAATAATCAAGTTAGATATTAAAGAGTTTAGTAAAGCAAACTGTTTATTTTTTAAAAAATATTTGCATTATTTGATTCTTAACAACATTTATTAAGCATTTATAAGATGAAAACTCTTTCTAATAAGATTTGTTATCTTAAATTTATTTTGAAATTTAAATTATAGAATATAAATTATAAATTGCTACATTTAAGTAAAATAATTTTTTTGATAAATAAACAGATCAAAAAAAATTATTTAAATTAAATAAATTATATTATTTGATTTAAAATAATTATTTATATTTTATATAATGCTTTATTATAAAGTTATTTTAATTTAAAAATATATTCTTAAATAAAAAAGTTAATTGAATTACTTTTATTTATTTATTTTTAAAAAAAAAAATAAAATAAGATAAATAAAAAAATAAACAGAATTTAATTAATATTTTAAAAATAAAGAAAAAGTTATTTATACATATACATTGCTTGTAATTTTTAAGAATTTTAGTTTATCTGTTAATAAATTTCTAACTTAAATTTAATTTTTTTATCTTATTATCTAAATTTACTTTAAATTTGATAAATATTTAAACTTTCAATTTAAATATAGTTTTACTATTTTATAAATTTTATCTTTTTCTAAAATTCATAAAATTTTAATAAAATTTATTAAATTATATTGTTTAATATTAAACAACCTGTAAAACCTTAAATTTTACTTAGTAATTTAATTATATACTAGGGAACAGTAACTGTTCTTATCCAAAGCATAACAGAACTTATAATAAAAATTCAATTTTTAATATTCAATTTTTGTAAAACATATATAATTAGCAACACAGAATTCTATTAGTTGATCAATATGCAAAACAGAATGATATTGCATTGCTTTGATGTAGAAATTATTATCCTCATATTTCAAATAATTATCATATAATAATTTTTATTTTTGTAAGAATTTGAATTTATATTATCACTGGGTTCATTTTTGTTTATCTTAACATCTAAGTTGAAAGGCTGCAGCAGCTGATTCTACACATTAGAGTTTCTGACCTTAGGATTTTCTCTAAGTTCTACAGGTATCCATTATACTTGAATCAACTCAGCAATTTATTACTTCTTAGAATTTAAGATATGTTAATCAAACTCATAATGACGAACTCAATAGCAAGTTAGTATAGAGTATCATAATAATTCTAGATGAAGAACAACGTTAAAGAGAAAAGTAGTTTGTATAAATTTAAGTTGATTCCTTTATTTATAATTTGGAATTCACAAAAGAATTAATAAACTTGCAGAGAAGTTTATAAACTTACAACTGAGTTAATTTACAATTTAAGCAAAAAGCTATTCTATTTATACAAAATTAATTTACTACAGCTAACTACTTACTACGCTATAAATTAAATAAATATAGATATATGTCTTAATAAAAATATACTTAAATATAATAAAATAATAATAATAATAAAAATAATATAAACTATAAAAGTAATAAAAAGAAATAAAATAAGTTATAGACGTTAAAGAAATTACAGATAGAACAGAATAAACAGGCTTTATAGAAAATACAGAAGAAAGACGAATTAGATGAATTTTGTAAATCCTTCAAATTAAATGATTTTCTAATGCAATATGTCAACCAAGATCTTCCTTAATATGATCTACATAAATTAAATCTAATAACTTTGTAAATCATTTTTCTAGAGTAAATTTTCAACGCTGACAATTTTATTTAAAATAAAATTAATTACATATAATTTAATAAATTAATAATTTATAAAAAAATA